CAACGTCCAGGTGTACTTTCCAGCAAAGGTCACTGGAGGATGGCCAAGGTCACTTCCATTTTTTCCCTTACTCAGCATCCAACCTTGCCACTGTACAGGATTGCGAGACGCTATCATGTGTGAAGAGCACTATACAAATGCCAGTTGTTGTAGAACACTATGCCTTACGATCTATACCAGGGATCAGACATTAAACAATTTAGTGCATTCTGAATCATTCAACAGTGACCTTACACATCTACTCCAACTTAAAACTGATTCCACTGTGAGCTGCACAAGCACATCTATTGTTTACATTATAAAATAGTTGGTGCGAGGGCCAAATCTCAGTGTAAAATTCTGGACCCATCCCTGCTTTCTAACTACTGACCCATCTCCAACCTCCCTTTTCTTTCCAAGGTCCTCAAAAGAGTCGTTGCTTCCCAGCTTCGCTCCTTCCTCTTCCACCACTCCCTTCACGAACCCCTCCAATCAGATTTCTGTACACTGTCCAGTGCCTTGGGACATCCTCCCGACGTGAAAGGTGCTATACAAATGTAATCTTGTTGTTGTTGCTCAAGCTCAGATATCACAATCTGTCCTTGTTACACTTCTCTTCAACCTCTTGGTGACATCATCCGCAACTTACACACAAACCCGGATGACACCCAACTCTCCACCCTCGATTCCAGGACAACTGGCATTCTGGCAGACTGCCTGTCAGACATCAAGTCTTGGATGAGGGCTAACTTTCTACAGCTGAATGTCAGCAAGACCAAGGCTCTCCTGATTGGCTCACCCCAGTGCCTCTGCATCTCAGGCACTGGCAGCATCCTCGGACACCCACTCCACCTCACCAAGCGAGTCAGGAACCTGGGTGTCTTGTTTGACTCTCTGCTGTCCTTTCTCCCCCATGTCCTTTCTATGACCCGCTCTGCCTTCCCCCACCTCCGAAACATTGCCCAACTCTGCCACTGCCTCACACCTTAGACTGCCAAAACCCTCATCCACGTATTCGTCACCTCAAGGCTCGACTACAGAAACTCCCTCCTTGTGGACCTCACCAACTCTTTCCTCCACAAACTGCAGATCATCCAGAACTCTGCAGCTTGTGTCTTCTCCAGCACCAGACTCTGTGACCCCATAATCCCCACCCAGCTCCACTGCTCCCCATCCCTCAGAGAATAAATTCAGAATCCTCGTCCTCACTTTCAAGGCCCTCCAACACCTTGCCCCCCGTCTACCTTTATGACCTGTTAACCCCGTCAACCTGTCCGCTCTCTCCACTGAGCAGACTCCGGCCTGCTCTATATCCCCCGGGCCCCTTACATCAGCGGCCAGGTTTTCAGCCTCTCTGCCCCCACCGTTTGAAACTCTATCCCTATCCCTTCACCTTGCTCCTTCCCTTGCCTCCTTCAAGGCATGACTCAAGCCCCTCCTTTTCGACAGTGCCTTCAGCCACTCTCATACCTCTCTGCCCTCCTCATCCTAACTCCCCCCCCCCTCCCCCAATGCTTCCTGACTTTTCAGCGTCTTGGGACATCCTCCTGACGTGAAAGGTGCTTTACAAATGTCATTTTGTCTGTTGTTGTTATATTTAGAACATGGGGCCAAATTTTTCTTAGATATCTCTAAAAATTAAATGCATTGTTTTCATGCAAGCTTTCCATATTCAGTTTCTCTAATCTACCTTTTTAATTCCAACAAGGGATTCAGTACCATTCTTGCTTTGATTCATGCTGAGCGAGACAAAGGTTTCTCTCTCGCATTAGTGGAGGGTAAAGACAGAATATTGATGGCTCATATTTGCATTTCTCCAGTTCTGTTGCATTTTCATTATGTGTACAGAATTACGTTGGTATATTTTACTTGATAGTTTTGCTGCCAGATTTTATTTGTTTGGGGATATCCTGAAAACAGATGAAAACCCTTCCCTGCAGATAAAACCATAGAAACCTACTGGCAGCCCTTAAGATCCAGGAAATCTCTCATCGATCCCAAAAAGGGAATTCCAGTCATCCCCCTATTAACATCCCTGCTTAATCAGTAGCACAATTGTGATCTATTACCTCAACCCTGTGTTTTGATCCATACATAAATATATGATTTTCTGCCTCCTACGTCCAAGTCAATGTGTACAAATTAAACATGGTTTCTGGAATTAATTCAATTCTAGTTCTCTCACAAGAGCTCCTATAAAGTCTTACTTAGATGAGTTATAAATAAGGTTTCTAAGCAGTACATATTTAATGATAAAAATCATATGGAGCCAAATCCATTGAAAGAAACAAAGTTGACTATTTTTTTTTTGTTTTTTAAAGAACAAACATATGAACTTATAGCTCTTTTTGAGTTGAGAGCAAACCTTTTTATTATTATTATTATTTAAAAAGGCAGTCATAGAATCATAGATTCTTACAGCACAGGAGGCCATTCGATACCTCGTGCCTGTGCCAGCTCTTTGAAAGAGTTATCAACTTGTTCCACTCCACCATTCTTATCCCATAGTCCTGTAATGTTTTCCTTTTTAAGTACCTATCCAATTCCGTTTCGAAAGCTATTATCGAATCTGCTTCTACCACCTTCTGGGTAACAACTCTCTGGGTAAAAAAAAATTCTCATTGTCTCCCCTCTGGTTTCTTTTGTCAATTATCTTATATTCCAAATCATTCCAAATTGTTATCAAGAGCCCCTGCCTTGAAGGAACATCTGTTTACATATTGGGTCAAGACAATATCTGGTTCAGCTGTGATGCTCTCCATGGTCTCACCTTTTCACTCACAATCCACCACCCGCTCGACTGGCACCGGTCTCCTGCTCGTCCCTCGCACACTCCACCCCACCATCAGAGATCGCGCTTTCAGCCACTATGCAGCGAAACTCTGAAACGTTCTCCCTCAATCCCTCCACCTTGCCCCCTCTCTCACCTTTTTCAAGACCCACCTGAAAACCTTACTCTTCGACCGTGCTTACGGCTACCACCCCCTCACCTCAGAGTCAGGCTCCGCCACTGTTAAGCTCTTTGAAATGCTATTCTGCTTGAAGGGTGCAATATAAGTGCAAGTTGTTGCTGTTAATACTTACTTTTAAGACTCAATATGAATAATGGTCATTTGATTGAGGTATTTGAGAATGCCCAGTGCAAATGAAGAGAGTTGAGAATGAGGAAGAAGAACAAACAGCAGGAATATTTAACTGGAATTAGTCTACAAGACAACAAGCAAGAAGATTTAGAGTGGTAGAAAGTTTGGTGAAACAAATAGCACAATGTGCAGCAAAGAGAGAAAATGATACCTTGATTAATTGATGCCTGGTTCAGTTAGTAGCCCTCATTCCTCTGCATCAACCGCTTTTGGACTGAAGCCTCACAGTCTTAGTTGACACTCCAGTGCAGTACTAGCAGAGGACTGCATGTCAGAGATGCCATCCTTCAGATGGGATGTTAATCAGAGGACTAACGTACCATCTGAGGACTAATGTGGACATTAAAGATCCCATCACAATCCTTGAAAAGTGAAGCGAGTTTGACATAGTGTTTGTCCAACAATCCTCCATTATGCTTGTGTAGCATATTATTGGACTGGTGCACAAACGCATTTTTGAGATATCTCAGCATGACAAAATATAATCTATTCTACGTAGTTAAAAGGGTTGCAGCATAACTCACAGTAAGTGATAACTTTTAACAATTATATTTATCACCCACAAATTGTACAAGTACTTTAAACAGAAAATAGTGTGTGCGAGGAATGCAATACCTAGAGAAGGCAGAAGTGTATTGTACCAGTAAAATCATGAGGAAGTTAGGATAGTTTTACGGTGAAGTGGATTCAGGGGTTGAGAAATCGAGTAATACAAGTTTTTCTTAACTTTGGGTTTGGTCAGATGGACCATACAGGTCTTTTCTGTTCCTGTCCATTTCAACGTATAATTCTCCTGCAACTCAAGGTTTCAATTTTGAAGGATATTCCAAAAAGTATAGTCCATCTTTCTCTAACAGAGCTCCTTGTTTTTCTATAGATTTCCAGCATTTCAGTTTCATATTGGATTTCAACCACCAATATTATTATAATTTATTATAATTGACATTTATTTTCACACAATTGTTGAATGTTTACTTCACTTGATTTAGGGACATTCAATATCATAATTATCTCAGAAAAGGATATATTATTAAGTAGTCTAAAGGGCACCAACAGACATTAGAAGATTCAAAAATATTTGTAATAATTGCAAAATGAATATTATTTGCAGAAAACCTGCTTTTTTAAATTTACAGAATATAGCACTTTTAAGTAAAGAAAGAATGTACGTAATGCTAGAACCAGTTCTAAGAATGAATCTATTGTAAAGGATTGTTATCAACTTGACTTGTTTTCCCTGGTCGAATTTTGATTTTAATAGTGAATGTTGAAGACATTAGGATACGAGCTGGGTAAGTTCCCCAATGTCTTTGGGGAAGATATCTGAGAACTCCTGATAGTGTCAAATTCTGGTATTAAATATCATTTCACCAATTAACATATTTACATTGTAATTCAATTTGTTCACATTTGTCGGTTACGATAACCCTTCCAACCAAGCTTCCTTGTCAACAAAAAGGGTGAGAAACTCTTCAAGTCATTAACTTTGACAATGTTGCTCACACAGGCTGAATGCCACTATTGGCACACAATCAAATTGTAGCACTTACCCGCATGAAACATTTCTTGCCCAAAGTATTCAGCACAAAAGACTCCACATATCAAAGAAAAGGATGTTGAAGTTTATGTAATTCTTGATATTTGTGTTTTAGAAAGGGTTTTAGACGATTCTCACTAGTGAATTATCTAAAAATATGGCAAAACTATGAAATATGGTACAAGTTGATTAGTTAATAAACCAAACAAGTTAAAATATTACGTAACATTTTCCATACATATATCTCAGGCACTTATCCAGGACTAAAAATGCCTCTTTTCCTACTATTATATGAAAGTATAATCATCTTCAGAGTGTTTTTTTTCGCACTTGAGGCTTACCTAGATCAGTGTTTGGTTCTGCCAGTAGATATCTGAATTTTTCTAGCCGAGACATTTCTCTTTCTGTCATTAATGGAGCATCTGATATATTCTGGTCCGTAATTCTTGCTACCAGTGGAATCGTTGGTCTAGAAGGCAGGGATTGCTGTTTTTGCAGAGGAGTCTTCTCAAAACCATCTGAACCTGAAATTGAACAAAATCAAATAGGAACATTTAACATCAACAGTTTTATACTATTTACATCAGGGTAGTCCAACTGGCGACACTCAGGCTGCATCTGCCCCCCTCCCCCCCCCCATTTCATCCGACACACCCACTCTCTCCGTAATTCGTAAATGTTATGTTATGTTTCTGGAAGGGAGACGCAAAAATATTGCTTATCTGGCCTGCGACGTGTCTCAAACAGAGCATCCAGTCCTCAGCAGCGAACAGGTTGGACCACCTTCGTGGAGTCCTGTAGCTCAGTGGTTAGAGCACTCGCTTTGCAAGTGAGAGACCTGAGATCAATTCCAGGCAGAGGGCGAAACCTTGGGCAAGTTTCCTTACTCCACACAGAGCCTCATAATAATCCCTCCAAAAACAATAATAAATTGGTCATTTTCAATCTACGACTGTTTGTGAGACATTGCTGTGCGCGAATGGCTGCTGCGTTCACCCACAAATATACAGTCAATTCACTTTACAGTGTGTTCTGTGAAGCGCTTTGGGACGTCCTCCCAACGTGAAAAGCGCTATATCAAATGCAAGGATTATTATTATTATTATTTGGATAATCCAGACCTAAAAGAACTATACACATTGCAAATATCCCAACCAATCCCCATTCACACCTATATTAGATAATCACTAGAATTTAACACCTCAGAATAAGGCTATTCAGCATATTGTGTCTGTGACAACTCTCCACAAGTGCTATCTGTTTTGTGTCAATTCCTTGCTCATCAATGGTTGCCCATCCTTCAGTTCCTGTAATCGTAACCTCTGAACTCCTCCCTCCAACTTCAGTCCCACCATTGCCTTTAAGTCTTGCCTCAAACTTTGAATACATTTATGGTCACCTCCCCCTTCCCCCACTATCTTGCTCGGCATCCAATCCAATCCTTGAAAGTCATGCTGAAATATTACCCTGCATAAAGGGTGCTATATAAATGGAAGTTGTTGTTATTTAAATTGGCATCTGTCTGGACAGATTTCCTTTTACTGTCAATCCACCTACATTCTGCAAGGGTTACCTGTTCAAAACTACAAAATGTAACAATTAAGTTTTCAATTTAATCGTTACTATGGCTGCATTTAAATCTCAAGAATTTTCCTTTTTTTTAAATGTTTAAGATTTTCTCCAAAAATGAAATCCTAAATATTATCAATACTGTTAATACAAATGATTCATTACTTCAGGTGCCACGTTTACGAAGCAAAGAGCTTCGATGAAGAGCAAATGCATTGTGGAGAAAAATAGAAAAAAGTTAATTCCACCAAAAATTTGAGTTTAAAGGCATCTAATAAAATACTAAATCTGTGAGCAACCAAGCCTAAATTAATAAAATATGTTGCCAATGAAGGAATATCAAATATTTTCAACATTGTGAAATAGAATCATTTTTAGCATAAGGGTATTTATAAAAATCTGTTTGGGCTGCAATGCTTCAGTAAATTTCTGATTTAATTTGTTGATAGACCTTTAACAAGTCTTAAAGTTGCTGGTCCAGCAAGTTTAACATTTAACCATGTTAGCAAAATTACACATATGCTGCTAAAGATCTTTTTTTTCTCTGCACTTGAATGATACTCAATCAGATGACAATAAAGCTGTTACAAAATTCTAAGCTTATTCAAAATGCAACTGTTCTACAATACATTGGAAATGTTTGGGACATTGCTCCTGTTATCTGCAGCAGATGAGACTATTGCTGGAAGATAAACTGAGTCATTCTGCTGAGGTCTATGCCATGCTCACTGCAGGCAATGTGAAGCTCCATCTGGGAGCCTGTAAACAAATTAAATCTCACAGTTGACTAATTCTTGTTTAAGTATGAATTAAAGTGAAATCTACACTTTTCTCATCATACACTGTATTTTTGTTGCAGGTTGCTAATCATCAGGGGGAAGAATGTCAGAGATGGTGAATGGAACATTTCATCCGCATGTTGTCAACCAGGATCAGTAATACTTTAAGGTTAGTAACTGTACAAGTAAGGTACGCTGAAATACACTTTATTATTTTGTTGCAAACATGTCTCAACCCACAACCTCGAAAAGGCAAAACCTGAATACACCAGGATGAATTATTTTCCATTTCCCACAATCATTACCCTGATGACTCAAATCAATTGCCATTTGTGTGCTGTATTATGGGCAGTTCCGGACTGGAGCACATTGCAAGTAATATCTAATAAAATACATGTAAAATCTAGATGTATAATATAGATACTTGTTACTGATTGTGCAGACAACGGCAAAAGGGAGGCCAATCATGAGCAACACGATAGCATCATGGAATAAGTGGCAACCCAGGGGGAAAAGAGATAAGCAATAAAGCCAACCGTTGTTGTGCAGGATTCCATACTGAGAATAGATTGTTGTTTCACCGCCATTACCATTATGTGGCCCACCAGCTTCTTTGATACTTCTCTGGCTTCGCCTTGCTCATGGGGAAGATCTTTAGTTAGCAAATAAATCACTTAAGGTGGTGCTTTTCTGTTCTTCACAAAGTGCATATTTCAATGTGCGATTATAATGGTATCCTCTCTATCATTAATTACTAAATATTTAAATGTTCCTTGATTCATGCAAATCAAACAGACTTTCAACAGCAAAATCACAACTGGCTAGATTGTCAACAATGGTTGCTAATTTGCTGGCCGTGGTGTGATAAAAAAAATTATTTCAATTGTATGATTTCGCATTTTACCAAGTAAGCAACTAAAAAAACTATTTTTTTCGAAGTCATTCTCCTCCCTTTAGAATGTTTTAATAAGACTTCAATTAAAATGTCAAGTTGCTTAATTCACATTTGTAATAATATCTTGACAACTAACCTGTTGATGTGTCAAGCTGCGCTTCACTGTTAGACTTCACAATTTTGTCAATTATACTGCATTCTGCTGGGTCTGGACTATGTAATTGTTCCGGTGTTGCCTCTACTTGTTCATCCTGCTGCTTCTGTTCCTGCAGCTTGCTGTGATTCTGAATTACTTTATTGGCTGTTTCCATTACAACATCGGTGTTCAGGTTTTCAGCAGCCATAGCCAAGAGGTCATCATCATCGTCATCACCAGCATCCCAAGCATCACTGGTAATACTTTCAAATTCTTGGAAAGTGGTAACTTTCTTTGTCTTTACTGCTGTTGACAGTGTCTTTGTATTTGCTTTAAATAAACTGTTGGGACAAAAAGAAACACAAATGGTCAATGAAGCAACACCTGGTATGAATTTTAACTGGGGCAACCTTTTTCAAATGAAACTCAGCAATAGAGAAGCTTATTTCTATGGTGAGGTGACCATAAGTGATTTTTTCAAAAAACACTATAAATTTCAGCTCTTGGAGTAGAGAATTAACATTTCCTCTCATCAATTTGAGTGCCCCATGTCCATGAGAAAATGTTATGTGATCACCACCCTAATTATTAAGTGTTTGTACTACAAAATTACAAACGCTTTATCCTCAACACAACTGCTCTTGTGCAGTGACAATTCTCAATTACATCAGAAAAATTATACATGATAAATGAAATACATGACGTAATGCAGTAGTTTTGTGGTTATAGCACCCTTGGTTCCCAGTCAAATGGAGACAAATCAAGCTTACTTTTGCATATTGTCACATCACTCAAATCTCTTGTCAAACAAGATCAATCTCAAAATGTGGATTTGGCTTTGAATTTCTTGGATTTTAGCGTTGTATAAAATCTCACTGTTTAAGAACAGTTATATTAGGAAAAGATCTTAAGTTTATGACAACAAACATTGCTGTTACAGTGAGTGACTCCATTGTAATGCAGTGTTTGTTACTAAAATTATAACTGTTTCCCTTCTGAGTCCTAAAAAGTCACCAATGATGCCATTTTCAGCTTCTTTTGTCTTAAGGTCTACCAACATCCAGTACCTGCCAGAACAGAACTAACATATAGTTTTCTACATGCCACCATCATGTCTTCACCTGTTCTTCATTTGAAGAATATTTTATAAATATAATAAATTACATGGACTATACAGTAACTTAATAGTAATCCTTGCCTAGCGCCTTCCATGTCAGGAAAAGATCCCAAAGCATTTCACAGGATATAGCGTAAAGTGAAGTAACTGTGTTTTGTGGGTGAAGGCATCAGCCAATTTGCACCAGCAATCTCCCACATGTAGCCATGAAGTAGGTGACTAATTAACAGATGAATTGCTAAACTCTTCACTTAGTGTTGAAAACAGTCAAAGTCATCAACCTTTCTGATCTCATTTTGATATACTGTAAAAAAAAATTGTGGGAGAAGTAGTTGTCAACAGTTATTTAATGTGATGTTGCTAACACTGCTTTCTTCTTTTCCTCCTTCCATTCCACTTCCTCTGACAGCAGCTCCAACTTGAACCCACCAATTAAGTGGCAGAAGTATTGTTACTCTGATTAGATAAGTGGATCAAACAGAATTGTCACCTTAAATCGTTTAAACACCTCAGAAAAACTGAGGGAATGAGACTTTCAACATATAGTGCAATAACAGACAGAATATGACTTCTGCCCAAATATATGAGCACTACGCTTTTGAGAAGTTAGGATTCAAAAGTGCCTATTACTGACACTGGGCAAAACAAGTTAAAAGTACCATTTTAAATCACTGACATCTTTATTCAGCAAGCATAAGCGCACATATAAACAGAGTACCTAAGAGAGCTCAGAACATAAATGCAAAATTTACTTCTTTCCAATAGTAAATATGTTGAACGAATTTCCAATATGAGTGGACTAATGCTTGTTAATTGTTTTAAAAATAAAGATGCTTAGGAATGGGATTGAAGATTACAAGATAAACATAAACAAATGCCCATGAAACATTATTACTTTCTGTTCTACTTCTGTTCTAGAGTCTAAAGTGTCTAACGTTGAAAAATTCAGTGTTCAAAGGGTTTATCAGGAGAAAGTAGTGTTCAACGTGCATTAAAGCATTTCCAGCATTCAAAACAAATACACAGCGCATTATACATACTTTGCATGTAGCAGAGGATCAAATGGAGGATGCTGAGCTCCATATACATGTTGTATACTGCAAAAGATGGAAGCACAGTTTAATGTCTATAAAACATGGTGATCAGTAAATTCTAGTAATGTAAGCATTTTAAACAGTAGAGATTATCAAACTTTAAAAAAGATGACAGCACAAAATACTTCCCATTAATTAAAATTAATTTAATGATGCCGAGTTTATTTTTTTGCTACACAAAAACAGTACAAGCTGGGGCAATGTGAAAACAATTCCTGGTCATATGAATTCCATAGACCAGACAGGTAAGCAACCAACCTGTGAACACTACTACGCATTGATAAGAATGTACTCATTGGTCCACACAGTAATTGTTCAATGTTCTGGCTACTGTCCAATGCACCCATGTGCATTACAATCCCCCATGCTAAATGAATACAATTAGTGAGGGAACAGGAGATACATTCTTGTAAATTTAGATGAGATGTTACAAATGGCAAAGTCCATTAATTAAATTGACTAGCAATTGAAGAATCAAGGAACAATTATTCAAGGACAGATTTTTCTGAGGAAAATAAATGCATACCAATTCCAAAAAAACATATATTTAACAATACAATTTAAAACAAATAAGCCAAATCTACAAATTAACTCAAGATTCCCCACTTATTATCAACTAATGTAACTTTGCCATAGATTACTCATTGCCATTTTGAATACTTGTCAGCAGTCTCCTATTACTGAGACCTTTCTTTCAATAACATTTTAGAGATTTGAGAAACAAAAATAGAAACACTGTACTGTATATATTTGCTATAATCAATACATACATCTGCATGTTATTCATTGTTTATAAACAACATGTACGTGTATTTGTAGATTTTCTCAAAATCCAATCCAAAGGAGAACTTTTGATAGGGTGTGTGAGAGAGAGAGCAAGGAGGAGTAAAAAGTGTAAAATTGAAGCAGAAACTGCTGACAAGAGATTGGGAGTGGCTGGCATTTGCAATATTTCAAATTAGTACAGTGATGAGCACAGAGGTAGATGTAATTAGTTCCTATGCCAAATCAGAACCAGAATGCCTCAGTCATGTACATAAAGATTTTAAAAGAAATTCAGATCCTGTTGCTCCTATTGCTCGAATTCAAGATCCTCACCCACAAGGCCATTCACGGCCTTGCTCCCTCCTACCTCTCCGACCTACTATCTCCCTACCTACCCACCCGTACCCTCCGTTCCTCTGGCTCCGGTCTGCTCCACATCCCCCGCCCCAACCATCAGTGGCCGGGCCTTCAGCCTCTCAGCCCCAAGGCTCTGGAACTCTATCCCCCAGTGCCTTCGCCGCCTCCTCCCTTTCCTCCTTCAAGGCCGGTCTCAAGACCTTTCTCTTTGACCGTGCCTTCAGCTCTCCTCTCGACTCTCTACCCCCTCCTCGCTCCCTCCCTTCCCTCCCCCTGACCATTTCCCCCCTGCTCGGGCCCTGACCCAACTGTACAGCGCCTTGGGACGTCCTCCCGACGTGAAAGGCGCTCAATAAATGGAATCTTGTTGTTGTTGTTATAATTAAGGTACTAACTTTAAACTGTGCAGTGGAAAGCACGAGTCATCTGATTAAAATAACATACAGTATATTCAATAATTATTGCACTGTACTCTTCATAAACAGGACAAAAAGCATGCTTATTTATTTCATAAATAGAAACTCATTAAAATAAGTAAGCTATTTTAAATTCGTACAAAATATTTTTGGCCAAATTGAAGTTCTGCATGCAAGTTTGGAGCACCCCATTACAGAAAAGGTTAGAACTATGGGAAGGGGGCAATGCAGATTCAAAAACACTTTCCCAGGATTTAAGGCATATAATTACAGTGTTTAGGGTTCTTTTTATTGAAATAGGATGAATAAAAAGGGATCTAAAGAGTTCTTCAATATTTTGAAAGTTCTGAGAGGATACAAAACAAGTTATCTTTATATAGTATTTTTCAGGTCAGGAGAAAGTCTCAAAGTGCTTGACACTGCTGGCTGGACACCTGAGCTGGTTTGGGAATTGAAGAGGGTGGAGCGGGGGATAATGACTAAACACACAATCAAATAAGTATGTTTTGAGATGAGCCTTGAACTTGGGTAAGGAGTGAGCGAGTCAGAGTGGCTTCAGAATGGAGTTCCAGAGTGGGAGCCACTAATGGTGGTTGTAGTAAAATGTGGTTTCTACTGATTTGTAAATTCCTAGGGAGGGGGACATAAGCTCAAAATTATCACTGGAAGAGTTTTGCAGAAACGTTTTTACACAGAGAGATGTTAGAACATTGAATGATTTGCCACAAGTGACTAATTTGTGTCTGAGACCAAAACATTTAAACATCCACTGGCCAAACATTTGAAGTGGAAAATAAAAGGACATGGGTGGATAGGAAAGAATTGGCATCGGAGTAACTTAAATCTAGTGGAGGAGCCAGTACCAGCATATGCTTAGTGGACCGAATGGCCTCCTCTCATGGTCGAATTCTGATTTCAAATGCTTATGTATGTATAGTAAATGGCCGTAAATTTGTTTTTAAAAAAATGAATCACATTACTGCAAAACAAATATCGAGGTGCTATCGGCCACCATATTCTATCAGACGACTTTGGGCTCCTTTAGTCATCGATCTCAAATCTATTCACCATCCCATATAAATGGGTGGGAACGTAGTGGCGAAACAGTCCTTGAACAGGTATTATTATTCTGAGATAAACTGGAAAACCACACTCCTGATTCCGTCACTCAGGGGCGATGGGGACGGGTGGCGGCTCAGTCTGACAGACACCTGACGGGGGGACAGAAAGTTTGGGACTGTGACGAGTTTGTAGTTTGAAAAAGTTCAGGATGTGGATTCTCCCGACACCTCCTCCTCCTCCTCCCCCAGTGTTTGCTGAGGTTCTCAGGCCTGACGTACCGCTGCAGCCCCGGTAGCGGCCTGGCCGCCCCCTGCCCACCCCCGGCACTGATTCCAGCACACGGTCCCGAGGGGAGGGCGCCTCCGCCCGCCTGACCCGGGCTTCCCGAGCAAACAGTTCACGAACCTTCCGGGGACCTTGGACACATTCCTCTTCCAGAACTGCCTCTTGCCGGCCTCGCCTGACATATTTCTGCCCGAAATTCCAGCTTCCTGCAGCGATGCTCCCGCGCGCGCTCACTCACTCTCACGGACTAGACAGAGAGTTAAGCACTTGAAAGCGGCCGCGAACCCGCACCGAGGGCTGTCCCCATTGGAGGCGCCTCTGCCTCACTCCCCGAGAGGCGCCATGTTGCCGCGTCCAGGAGACATCCCGACCATCAACGGGAATATCCGAGGTAACCACTTGGCCAATCAGAGGCGCCGTCTCCCCTTCTCTCTCTCTCTCGCTCTCTGCCCCGCCCCCAAGGCCTGGGTGACGTCCCTCCATACGTCACTGTCGGACGTCACGCGCCGGCACTGGTCACGCGCGATTTGACGTTCAGAGCCTACCCCGCGCCCCCCCGCGCGCACACACACAAACGGACACACCCCCCCCCCTCACCCCCCCCCCGCCACACGCACAACCACAGCCCAAGCCCCGCCTCTCACACACACTCACCCAATAAGAACCAGCCCAGGACACCGGCTTCCCGCCCACCCTCAACATGTTCCAATGGAGTCCTGTAGCTCAGTGGTTAGAGCACTCGCTTTGCAAGTGAGAGACCTGAGTTCAATTCCAGGCAGAGGGCGAAACCTTGGGCAAGTTTCCTTACTCCACACAGAGCCTAATAATAATCCCTCCAAAAACCAAAAACAATAATAAATTGGTCATTTTCAATCTACGACTGTTTGTGGGACATTGCTGTGCGCAATTGGCTGCCGCGTTTGCCCACAAATATACAGTCAGTTCACTTTACAGTGTATTCTGTGAAGCGCTTTGGGACGTCCTCCCGACGTGAAACGCGCTATATCAAATGCAAGGATTATTATTAATGGGATTGCCCTGTATTTCTACAGTATTTTCAGTGTTTAGTGATACACTCGCAGAGCAAGTTTTTCTCTGACCTGCTGACTTCCTAACCAACCTGCCCTCTCCCTCCGTACAGCGGGCTCCGGTCTGCTCCATGTCTTCCACCCGACCCACCCTACCAACGGTGGCTGGGCTTTCAGCCTCTCTGCCCCCACACTCTGGAACTCGATCCCATGGTCCCTTCGCCTCGCTTCCTCCCTTGCCTCCTTCAAGGCCGGTTTTAAGACCGTCCTCTTCAACCCCGCCCGTTCCCTCTGCACAGCCGGCTCCGGCCTGCTCCACGTCCCCCGCCCCACCTGCCCCACCATTGGTGAGAGCCTTCAGCCACTCTGCCCCGAACCTCTGGAACTCCATCCCCCAATCACTCCGCCTCGCCCATCCTTAGCCTCCTTCAAGTCCTGCCTCAAAACCCTCCTCTTCGACCATGCCATTGGCCACCCCCCTTCTCCTCCCCTCCCCTCTGCCCCTGATCCCAGCTCAGGTCTGAAATGCTGTACACCTTGGGACGTCCTCCCAACGTGAAAGACGCTATACAAATGTAATCTTGTTGTTGTTGTTGACCTAACCAGCATCATGCTGTATTACTGTAACTGGAATGGTGTTATTTTCAACAACAAATACTTGCATTTATGCATTTATATAAGATCCTTCACGCGGATAACGCTTAATAGTGGTGTGGCTTGCTGCCAAGCTGGAAAGGGGGGGAAATGACCAAAGGCACAGTCGAACAGGAAAGTCTTCAGGTGTGATTTGAAGACAAGTGGTGAGATGGCAAAATAGAGGGATTGAGGCAAGGAGACCCAGAAATTTGGCTTTACAAAAGGGAAGTCATGTTTGACAAATCTCATAGAGTTTTTTGAGGATATTTCCAGTAAACTCGATAAGGGTGAATCAGTGGATGTGGTCTATTTGGACTTCCAGAAGGCATTCGATAAGGTGCCGCATAAACGGTTAGTCCAAAAGATAAGGGCCCCTGGAATTGGGGGNAGCATATTAACATGGATTGGGGAATGGTTAACGGGTAGGAACCAAAGAGTAGGGATCTGACTAGTGGAGTACCACAAGGATCAGTCCTTGGGCCTCAGCTATTTACCATCTACATCAATGATCTAGATGAGGACATTGAAGTTATTATATCTAAATTCACGGATGACACAAAACTAGGAGGAAGTGTCAACACAGAGGATGACGTTAAAAACATGCAGCGCGACATAGATAGGTTAGGTGATTGGGCAGGTAGGCGGCAGATGAAGTATAATGTAGGGAAGTGCAAAGTCATCCACCTAGGTAGCAAAAACAGTAGAGCAGGTTATTTTTTAGAAGGGGAGAGATTGGAATGTTTTAGTGTTCAGAGGGACTTGGGTGTCCTTGTACACCAATCACAGAAAGTTAGTCTGCAGGTGCAGCAGCAATTAGGAAGGCGAACGGTATGTTAGTATTCATTATGAAAGGATTAGAGTATAAGAGTAAGGAAGTCTTGCTGCAACTGTATAGGGCCCTGGTGAGACCACACCTGGAATACTGTGTGCAGTTTTGGCCTCCTCATTTAAGGAGGGATGTACTTGCCTTGGAGGGGGTGCAGCGTAGATTTACTAGGTTAGTGCCAGGGATAAAGGGGATGAGTTACGAGGATAGGCTGACCAATTTGGGCCTATATTCTCTAGAATATGGAAGAATTAGAGGGGATCTTATAGAAACCTATATTATCATCAAAGGGCATGATAGAGTAGATAGTGGGAGATTGTTTCCCCTGGTTGGAGAAACTAAAACCAGGGGTCACAACCTTAAAATCAGAGGCCAGCCCTTTCGCACTGAGTTGAGGAAGAACTTCTTCACTCAAAGGGTGGTGAATGTATGGAACTCACTACCCCAAAGGGCTGTTGACGCTCAGTCCTTGAACATATTCAAGACTGAGATAGATAGATTTCTTATTGCAAAAGGGATTAAGGGATATGGGGATAAGGCAGGGTTAGGTTATTAGCTGGAGTTAAATAAGAAGATCAGCCATGATTGAATGGCAGGGCAGGCTCGAAGGGCTGAATGGCCTACTCCTGCTCCTACATGCTATGTTATAGTGGCTGAAAGCCAATTGTGGAGGGAATGAGGGATGTGCAGCAGACCCATGCCAACTGAGCGAGTGTGGCAGGTAGAGGAGTGGGTTTTCAGCAGATCAAAGAGGTAAGGAGGTGCTAGGCCGTGAAATGATTTGAAAATGAGATTCAGAATCTTGATCCATTCTGCAGGAGGGAGTCAGTGGAGCTGGCAAGAACTGGGATGATCATGGTACAGAACCTGGTACAGGAGAGGACACAGATTTTCTAATTATTTGGGCGGTGTAAATAGTGCAGTTGGAGAGACTGGCATTGGAAGAATCGAGGCGGGAAATGCCAAAAGCATGAATGAGAATTTCAGCAGCATTTGAAGTAAGGCTGGGTGAAAATGGACAATGTGGCAGAGGTGGAGGAAGACATTCCTGGTCAGGGATCAGATGTGGGGTTGGAAGGATAACGGAGGATTGAACCTGATGCCAAGGTTGCAGGTTCAGTGAAAGTAAGGGATAGACAGGGATGGCATTGAAGGCCTGTAGCTTTGTGGTTAGAGCACTCACCTCGCAAGCAAGAGGACCTGGGTTCGATTCCCAGGCCGGGCAAAACTTTGGGCAAGTTTCCTTGCTCCACACGCCTCTGTTTACCAAGCAGTAAGTCGGAACCCGGTTGTCAGTCAATTGGTGGATTGCTTTTCCTGGGGTAATAATCCCTTCAAAAAAAATAATAATTCAGTCACTTAATCCATGACTGTTTGTGGGACACTGCTGTGCGCAATTGGCTGCTGCGTTTCACCCACAAAATATACAGTCAATTCACTTTACAGTGTATTCTGTGAAGCGCTTTGATGTCTCGAAGATGTGATGAGGCACTACATCAAATGCAAGGAATATATATTATTATTAAGGAGTTCAGAATCGCAGGTGAGAAGATATTGACAGGAGCCAAGGAAGATGACTTCCGTCAGCAAGTTGTTGCTCATCCAGACCTTGATGTCAGACAAGCTGAAATTGTCTGTCAATTTTTTTAACCTAAATTCATAATAATTAAACCAACTTAGTTTAGTGGCTCAATTTGTCTTCATAAGTCTTTGTATTTCTTCAGTCAATCAAGAGTTAAACCTTGTCAGAACTTTTATTTTGTCAGCTTTAGAAAGATTGATCTTGGCTCAATGGTAGCACTCTCGCCTCTGAGTCAGAAGGTTGTGGGTTCGCATTCTACATTGCAACCTCACGTAGTATGCAGTGCTCGGGGTCTGATGCAATGTCATAGGTGTTGTCCTTTGCCATTTTAGGTGGATATGTGGAGTTCTGTAGCTCAGTGGTTAGAGCACTCCCTTTGCAAGCGAGAGACCTGAGTTCAATTCCAAGCAGGGCGAAACCTTGGGCAAGTTTCCTTACTCCACATGCCTAATAATAATCCCTCCAAAACCAAAAACAATAATAAATTGGTCATTTTCAATCTACGACTGTTTGTGGGACATTGCTGTGCGCAATTGGCTGCCGCGTTCGCCCACAAATATACAGTCAATTCACTTTACAGTGTGTTCTGTGAAGCGCTTTGGGACGTCCTCCCGACGTGAAAAGCGCTATATCAAATGCAAGGATTATTATTATTATTATATTAATGACCCCCTGCACTATTTGAAAAAAAAGTCTTAGTTTCCTGGCCAACAATTTCCTAAATAAAATTGGTCATTCATTTTGTGGCTTATTTGTGGGACATTGCTATGCACATTGGCCGCTGTGTTTGCCTGCGAGTATACAGTCACTCCATTTCACAGTATATCCTGTGAGGCGCATGGAGATGTCTTTCTGACGTTATGAGGAATTATACTAAATGCAAGGATTATTGTTATCATTTGGTTTGAAATTAACTCAGTGTCATAAAGCAGGAGATGTTAAAACTGACCACAGAAGTAACTGGCAGGTCAACTACGCAAATCATTCGTGAAAGATTAAATCTGAATCGTGAATATTATGTAATTATGTGAAAAAAAATTATGCGCATTGTAGTCCTGATGATTGACACAGAAAACATACTCATGGATTATCTCTGATCTTTACAAAAGTGCAAAGATGATATGAGTGCAACATTGTGCGTATGTAATGTGCTTCAGTATGCTTTCTTGGCACTCAAATATGTTACTTGGCACTGCAGTTCCTTGTTTTTGGTGCTAGTTATCTGAGAATGAATAAGCTGTTTGAATTTGTTCTGTGAAAGTTATTCTGGTCTTCTCTTGTTATGCTTAACATGGGCAGGAAATGCAAATCAATGGTAAGGTTTTCTTTTCACCAGTTTTCACCAAATGTACCTAACTTTTTTGCATCAGTTTTTTTTCTTCTTGAATTTTTTTCCCAATCAGCCACAAACGTTGTACCTTACTTAATTCCCAGTGTGAACCTGTTGGACTTTACACTCCACATTTCACACCTAAAATATAGTCAATTTACTTTACATTATATTCTGTGAAGCAGCTTGAAGATGTGATAATAATAATAATAATAATCCTTGCATTTGATATAGCACTTTTCATGTCGGGAGGACGTCCCAAAGTGCTTCACAGAACACACTGTAAAGTGAATTGACTGTATATTTGTGGGCGAACGCGGCAGCCAATTGCGCACAGCAATGTCCCACAAACAGTCGTAGATTGAAAATGACCAATTTATTATTGTGTTTGGGTTTTGGAGGGATTATTATTAGGCTCTGTGTGGAGTAAGGAAACTTGCCCGAGGTTTTGCCAATGACTGACAGGCCGGAGGGACCCGCCCTGTGTGAGCACATGAGCTCAGTGCGTGCGTCAGACAGACGCTCCGCCCCTCTTTGCTCGTCACGCGCCCTCGTCGCGCCGCGAGACGGGAGAAGAGCCGAGGTGGCGGGAGCGCGCGGGCGCGCTGACGGCTGAGCCTCGCGCCGTCTTCGGACAAACGTAGCGGTCGGTTCAGCAGCGGCTATGGCGGCGGCGGCTCGTGTGCTGCTGAACGGACAGGTCTTCGAAATCTCTTTAAACGAGTCCGTTTTCTCCTGGAAGTCGCTGCGTCTCAGGAACTCGCCGTCAGCTGCCGCCGCTCGAGGAGGGCGAGGGGAAGGCGGTAAGTGACTGACTTGACTGACCGACCGGTCGGGCCGTCGCTCGAGGCCGCCGTTTGATCTCATTGTCTCCGCGGTTCTCCGGAAGGGACGGGACAGAGGTGGCGGCCCCGGGGAGAGCGGCCCGGGGGGGGGGGGGGGGAGCGGCCCCGGGGAGAGCGGCCCCGGGGGGGGGGGGGGGCGGCGCCGGGGAGAGCGGCCCCGGGGAGCGGCCCGGGGGGGGGAGCGGCCCCGGGAAGAGCGGCCCGGGGGGGGGGGGCGGCCCGGGGGGGGGGGGGGGGGGGGGGCGGCGCGGCGCGGCCCGGGGGGTGGGGGGCGGCGCGGGGGCTCTTTGCTACGAGTCAGGACCAGGTTCCTCTTTATTGACAAGAAAAGAGACAAGAGTTCGGGCCACCGGGACCCAAGTCTTTTGTGTCGTGTGTTTTTTTTCCCGAAGATGATCCGCGATGCCCTGAGCGGAGGCTTCGTGCCTGATATGCGAGGGCGGCTCAGCAGGTGCTTTCCTGCGGGTTGTGCAGTTGTTTACGCTGTAGACCATGTTTGATTTTCGCCTGGATGTTTATAATAATAATAATAATCCTTGCATTTGATATAGCGCTTTTCACGTCGGGAGGACGTCCCAAAGCGCTTCACAGAACACACTGTAAAGTGAATTGACTGTATATTTGTGGGCGAACGCGGCAGCCAATTGCGCACAGCAATGTCCCACAAACAGTCGTGGATTGAAAATGACCAATTTATTATTGTTTTTGGTTTTGGAGGGATTATTATTAGGCTCTGTGTGGAGTAAGGAAACTTGCCCAAGGTTTCGCCCTCTGCCTGGAATTGAACTCAGGTCTCTCGCTTGCAAAGCGAGTGCTCAACCACTGAGCTACAGGACTCCACACTTTTGGTACTTTTGTTTCCTTTGTGTTCACTTTGTGTTACATTTATTGTATGTTCTGCATTCGTCAGCAATGCAGTGGAAAGAAGGTGGGATATCATTTGATACGATACTCTGAATTTATTCCATACCTGCTTCATATCCAGTGATTAGAGGAACCAGTCTCAAATGAGCTGGATGTAACCAGGACTGTTGAGTCCTGTAGCTCAGCGGTGAGAGAGCACTCGCTTTGCAAGCGAGAGACCTGGGTTCGCTTCCCGACAGGGTGAAACCTTGGGAAAGTTTCCTTACTCTACACGCCTGATAGTAATCCCTCAAGAAAAAAAAAGCAATAACAATTTGGTCACTTAAATCCACGACTGTTTGTGGGACACTGCTGTGCGTAATTGGCTGCCGCGTTTTGCCCACAAATACAGTCAGTTCACTTTACAATCTACTCTGTGAAGCGCTTTGAGACGTCTAGAAGACATGAAAAGCACGATAACAAATGCAAGGATTATTATTATTATTATGACCCAAATCGGTCAACAGGACACAGGTTGAGGATGGTGAAGGGCAGATGGGATAGATCCCAGGTGTTCATTTATTTATGTAGGTGATTGACAGATGGAGGTGGTTCGGTGAGAGGCTGGTGGAAGCCAGAACACTGACCTTGTTTAATAAGCACTTTAACGCTATAATGGGAAAATGGCAGGTTCAGAATTCCGGATGAATGAGATCAAATGCCTTCATCGCCTGACTTATTGTTTTGTGATCATGTGTTTTGGGAGGATATTTAGTACAATATGTAAACTATTGTGCATTTTTTTGGAAAAAAAACTGTTTATTCGTGACTTTTGTGTTGTCCTTTCCTTTGGGAAATTATATACAAACATTTTCAATCTTGTTCTATATCTGTGGTGTTATATTTGCATATAGGATATTGTGTTTCAGCAGGTCTGTTTAAAGTGGCAGGTTAAATAGCGCAATTTTTATACTGCCTCAGAAGGCAAGTAGTATTGTAAAATGATTGTTTCTAGATTTCCCAAGACCCAATTCTGAATTAGATCTCCCACATAGATCTGCTTTAGCATATAGGTGATCCAAATTAATAATGAACAATTGTTAGTCGGAACAAGTGGCCACCTGGATCAACATTGTTTTGCAATATAACCTTGGCATTGGCTCTTTAAAATAAAGTGTGGTTAAGTCTGTTGATTATTATTAGATAAAGTAAGACGGATATGCCTACTTGTCCTGGTAGATCACAAGAAACATTGGGGTGAAGCAGATGGTTCTATTACAACAGCAAGCTAGTTTCTTGATCGTATCAAATCATTGCTCATAGGCTAGCTCATTCCTTCTTTAACACTGGGGATCATTCTCTACACTGAGTATAGGGCCTGGGCAATCAACTGACTTATGTTGTGACACGCAGATTTGTTTGCAGTGCTCCAGGTGTGGTCTGACCAGAGCATTGCATGTCTTTGAGTATGACTTCTGGGTTAAAGAGAAGTGTTCCTAGTGTACTGTCCAATATTCCTTCATCTAAATTCACCAAATTGTCATTGCAATTTATAGGATATTGTTGATCAGGATTAGGTACTGCATTCGCGATACTTTTATGGAATAAGCTATTTTAAATTTTAAGAGTTACAATGAATTTGGATATAACTTTTTTCTCTCTGCTGGAAAAATGATAAATGCGCATTCATGTGGAGAAGTAGCTTGGAGGAAATGCTGAGTGTCAGTACAAAGGAAATTGATTTTAGATGGTTAGAGATGCTATTGTTTATCGTTAACCTGGTGTCGTTCAACGTCCATACTAAATGCTGGAACTGTTTTTGAGAGCAGGAAGTTGTTGGAAGGTGAGGCTAGTCAGAACCATTGTAGTTTTGAGAATGCTTATCATGTGTTTCTTATTGCCTCTGCACTTGTTCCGCAGCAATATATGCATTTTACTGAAATCAAATCAATTCAACCATACAACACTGCCAACCAAAATATTTTTTTATTTTGTTGCGTATTTTCTCCACTTGCTTACAAGTATGATAAATACTGCCTGTAAAGTGTTCCTTCTAATTGTGTTGGGCAGCATTTGGGTGTGTGCACACACACACTTTTGGGACGTCCTCCCGATATGAGCGGCACTATACAAATGTAATTTTGTTGTTTTTCCTGGAACTTGTGCAAGGTCATCAAATAAAATCAATGTCCTGATATATTGGTCAGATTAAAGGAAGATTGATGAATCATCTCAACCTGCACATTGTTGGCACAGTATTTCATAACCCAGCACTTGCAGTATCCACTGGCATTAGTAATTGATATACTTAAGCATGGATATGATTCAAATTAAATATTGTATTGAAATAAAAAAAACAAATTTAAGTAATTGAATTATTTGAAATTAGTTTAATCTGGAGTGAATCTCAAATTGTATCCCAAGATTATTTCTGTTCACTGTAAATTGAAATTGCTGATGATTTTGAATCCCTCAACAATTCATAAACGTATTGATAGTGATGTTTGAGTAATATGTTAAACCTGTAATTAGCAAGGAATAAGAAGTTAGTTGTGAAAATTTGAGTGAGGAACAAATCCATTTTCTTTTTAAATTCTAATTGAAAATTTTAACCTCAAGTATAATCAAATTGCCCTGTTTTGAAATTAAAATTTGGATAGAAATTCACAATGATCATTGATATTGATTTTTTNCATGCAACTTCACTGACTTTTTGCTCACTATATTTCACTTGGGTAATTATTGGTATTTTTAATGATCGTTATAACAATGCTAAGGTATTACCTACAACTCAATCTGTCCTGTTTTCTACTTCGACTTGCAGGATCCCACCTAACAAAGGTGTTATATCAAGCAAAGAAATTTTCGGACTATTTCATTGATTGTGTAAATCCTGGTATGAGGTGTCTTCCCCTTCTTCAGTCAAAGATAAATATTTACACCCAGTTTGAGCATATTTGACAGAATACTTTGCATCTGTGGTTTGAAGAAATAATGTACGATCAGTTTTATTATTTCTATGCACTCTTAGGGTTACACTCAAAATGTATTGTAGGCAACGAGAGCTGAGAATATGAAGTATAATCTGAAGTGGTGCAAAATATTCTACAATTGACATTGTTTACAATATGTTGCACATTTGTGTTGCAATTCTGGTTCCTGGGCTTGACTGGATTGTTTGCTATTTTGACCTTTTGTTGTAGCCTTAATTTTGTATAACTTGGTCTTCGCTTTCAGCACATTTTTGTGAACACTCCTTTCTCTGCATGTTAATGCTAATCCGAATTTAAACTGTATTTAGAGTGTTGCATTTGTTGCACTATTCTTAGTTGATGGAATTCCCCCTTCCTGTTCATTGTTAATTGGGCTGTATAACTAACTCACAGGTATGTATGGCAGTGTAAAACAGGTTTATTTATTTGTCTTTCCTTTTTNAATAATAATTTTTGTTGCCACCATTGTTACCTCCCTTCTCTCAACCTTCATGCTTAATTCATTGCAAGGAAATCATTTGTTTGGAGTTGAATAGTGAATCAAATTCCATATATATATTTTTCCTAAGGACAAAAGTAATTAACCTGAATATTCTCATACATTATGCTGTTGGCTAAAACTCCACCTTCAGCGAGGAGAATCCACATTGCCCAGCAAGAGAGAGGAAGTGTCACTATTTGACCTGAGCAGATAATTGGAAAATATGTCAGTTTATGTAGTTCCTTAATTAACTAATAACCCATCAGTACAACTATTTTGAAAATAATGTTCCTTCATCTGCTTGCTGCTAATAAATATATTGTCTTGCACTCCCATGATAAAAATCTTCTGCAGTATAATAGAACAAAGACGGATATGCAGAAGCTTAGCAAAGGTTAAAATAAAGGGTTACAAGACAATTGAATATGTTGTTCAGTGTGGCCTTTGAGAAGTTGTTAGCCTGGCTTAGTTGATCACATGCTTGCCTTTGAGTTATGCATTTGGGTTGTGGGTTAAAGCCCCATGTTGACACTCTTATGCAGTGATGGGGATGTGCTGTCACTGGAGGTGCTGTCCTTAGGATGAGTCTCTTTAAACAAGTCCGTTTTCACAAGGCCTTGGGATATGGTTTGCGTTTTTCTTATTTTGTAAAATTAACATTTTAATTCAAGTTTTCTATATTTTCTGAGTGCTGTGCTGCTACTTTCCCCTTCAAATACAGTCACTCCACTCCGCAGTGTATTCTGTGAAGTGCTTTGAGATGTCCTTGTGATATGAAGGGTACTGTACCAAGCGTAAGGATTATTATTCTTGTGTCAATTGGTGAGGGTACCAACTGGCAGCTGCAGAACATCTGTGGGGTATCTCTCATAATGTCATTTAATTTATAAATTGCCAATGAACATGAAATGGACAGATTGGGAGGTAAATAAAAGTATTAATGCTATTTGATGGCAAAAAACTCTTTAAAAAAATACTTGAAATATCATTGCATTTTGCTGTTTTATGCTGAAGTTTTAGTGTTTATATGGCAGGAAAGACGAGCAAGAAAGGGAGCCTGATTTATACTTTTTGTTGACAATGGATGGACGGTGGAACATGGGAGTCTGATGAGAAGTATGTTTGAAAGCTTTAGCGGGAGGGTAACAAAGGTGTGAATGAGGGTTTTGGTGGTGGCTGGGGCATACGTGAGCAATGTGGTCTTCTTCATGAACTGAATGATGATAATCCTTGCATTTGATATGGCGCCTTATGTCTTCGAGACATCTCAAAATATCAGGAAGGAGAACCGAAAGTGAAGCTTGTCCCCTGGTTCAGTGAGTTTGAGAAACTAGCAAGATTGAGGAGGTCAGAGCTGGAAACTTTGCCAGAAAGCTTCCATCTTGTCTTTGGCTCATCCTGGGCTTGATATCTGATGGGCAAGCAGACAGAATGTTAAGGGACTGAGAATCCAGAGTGAATGTTGTGAATATACAGAGAAACTTTCAGTGCAGACCTGTAATGTGGGTTCAGCTACATACATATAACCTATATAGTGGTGTCCTTGTAATGAACGAAGGCTACAGGATGTATTTTTGTTCAACATGACTTATTATGCGAACTTAAGTCATATGCTGCTTACATCTTTTCTCTGAATTTCTTGCATTTTCCAATTGCTGCTTCTGACATAAAACTTTGAATGGCATATGTAACAACACTAGCCCCAATATATTGTAGGGTCAACTGAGCTTCAAATCTATATAACTATAAATTCTAAATATTATGAATTATAAATCTATAAAAGTCATAGTCCTTCAGCTCTGTTGTGTCTAGTTTAATGAGAATAAACTGCACTATGGCAGGGTGAAACCTTGTGCAAGTTTCCTTACTCCGCATGCCTGATAATAATCCCTCAAGAAAAAATAAAATAATAATTTGGTCACTCAATCCATGACTATTTATGGGCCACTGCTGTGCACAATTGGCTGCCATGATTCGCCCACAAATATACAGTTCACTTTACAGTATATTCTGTGAAGCGCTTTGAGACGTCTAGAAGACGTGAAAAGCGCTATATCAAATGCAAAGATTATTATTATAATAAAAATAGATTTTCTGAAATTTAAACTGATCTTTCATTTTGTACCTTTGGAAAGTATAGGTGTTGAGAAATCTCAGTCAATTTAAGTAATCCCTTTCAGAGTTTTGATTTTTTAAAAGTTCTACTTTTTTGCACTGAAAAGTTTTTTCCCTTTCTCATTACTCATTTTCTATCTGATTTACCAGGCACCCTCATATTATTCTTGTGTAGAGCTTTACATTTGCCAAGGTCAGTTAATACACAACTTCAGAGAAATAGATATACTGTCCAATACCTGAGATCAATGTGCGCCTGAACTGTTTCATTGGAGCAATCGGATGACTATGCTTTACTAAGTACTTATCTTACAAATGAAGGACAGGGGCATGAATGATTTCAATCCCTAAATCTTTTATATCATTCGGGTTTTTTTTATATAACATTAAGCAAAATAATACAAAATTGAAGGTTCAATTCTTGATCTTTGCTGAGTTAATAGACTCAGCATGGCAATTGGTGTAAGTGCCTTGGCCTAGGGAGTAGAAAAAACAATCTTGCTAACCAATAGTACCTATCTATCCGTACTATACTTGGTACCTCTTATTGCTATCTGGCTTCTTGGGGTGTGTTACACGTGAATGTTGGGCAAGAATGGGATCTGCTAATTCTGTGGTAAATGGTCGTTTTAAATCAAATGCCTTAAAGTTTCTGTTGCTCAGTCCTTTTTCCTAACTTACTGACCAGAACTCAATTGCCTTCTCCCTCATGTATGCAATACTTAATTAGCATGATTACTTTCCTATACACAAATGTGTATCTGGGGGATAAGAATTTGATTAAATTGGATTAGTTTTTTCTGCGAATTTAGGTAGTACGTCCAGTTAAAGACCCTCAACCACAGCACAACATTTCAGTTAGTTCAGAACCACAGTGAATGTGTATTAAAACTGGTATAAAGATAACATCTTGCTACATCATAAAGTACAATAAACTGTCAGTTTGTCAAGCAGCTGAAATGTTTTTATAATTGTTAGTTAATACGCTGTAATCTTTCCTAAGTGTTTTATGCTTGTCTATCTATCTGTTGCTTTTGACTGCAGCATTCATGACATAAGCAATAATATTAGAATTAATTCATCATTTAATTGATAATATCTGAGGCTCAAATCCAATGATGTTGATTTAATGTGGATTTTACAACCCTTTTTCCTCTGCACTTTTAATTCAGAGAACCAATCTGTGCCTGTCTCTGAGATCATTGCTGTTTGTAAAACTGAAGTGGCTGGGACATGTAAAGAAAGTGGAAGATGGCAGAAAATGACATCAACAACAACATCATTTACTCCTGAGCAAATTTTGCATGATTTTACAGGTACAGCCTTATCTTTCAATCAAAACATTTTTAAAAAATGTAACTCCATAGTTTTACTTGTTAAGATGACATTTTTAAATTCCATATTTGTTTTCCAACACAGGAAATTGCAAATTCTTCTTATCTATATTTGCTATCATAATGAGTAAACTGCACTTTGCATTCATGGAGAGCCACAAAAATGATCTGAGGATTATGTGGATTGAGGAAAGAATTAACTGCGATTGGTCTGATTGGTTCTGCTGAAAATTATGATTTCAGCTGCATTTTCCAAATTTTTCTATAGGTCCACAAAATATTTAAACAGACATATATTCTGGACAGGTTTTAATTACTAAATTTAATACAAATATTTGAAACCTATTGTAAATTGTAACTTCCAATAAATAAACATTCTTACAAAATATTTTACAGAACAAGTACATAGGCAAGTACATACAACACGCAGATTAAACAAACCAATGGATTAGTAAGAATGTCTAAAAAGGAGATTAAAAGAAAAGAGATTTTTACAATGTTTATACATTGGCAATTTAGCTTTTTTGTGAAAAAAACCTAGTGAAAACTGAGAAGGGACATGGCAGCCAATGAAAATGAGTACTTGCACTATTGTAACACAATGACTCCGTTAGTTGAAAATGAAGATTAACAAGAAATGTCAAACATATTAAATATCTACACCCTGGAAGTTTTTAGGCAACAACAACAAATCACATTTGTATAGTGCTTTTCACGTCGGAAGGATGTCCCAAGGTGCTGGACAGTCAGGGATTTGGATCAGCAGAGGGTTCTGATCAGGAGGAGTGGAGGGTAGTGATAGGAGGGTGGCCGAAAAGCGCACTCGAAGAGGAGGTTCCTGAGGTGTGCCTTGAAGAAGGCAAGGGAAGGAGCAAGGCTGTGGTGGGAGCAAGATCATGGAGGGCTTTGAAGCCGAGGACGAAGATTTTGAACTCTATCCTCTGGGGAACCAGTGGAGTCGGACGAGGGGATGATAGTGCAGGGAGAATAGTATAACTATACTGTTCAACAAATGTGATGTGAGCTCTTGTACTTTGAAATTGATGAGGCAGAGGTTGTAGATGTGCTAAACTAAGTTTTCTAAGACTGATGAACTATACTTTTGAGGATTAGAGAGAGAGGAGAAGAATTTGTGAAGCACCAATCATTTTCGAAGCCTAGGGATACATCCAATCTGAACTGAATATTCCATGGGACACAATTTTTGTCTTTATGTTTTTGGGCAGAGTGAGAGGGAAGAAAACCATGGACACTAGTTAACAAACACTTCTGGTGAAAATAGTGTAGCTGATTGCCATGCCCGGATAATGACATAGCTGTAAGACAAGAATTTACTGTAAAATCCTATTATAAGGTGCTTTGGGGTGTGGACCCTAACATTTATTTACCCAAACATTCCAAAATACCTGCACCAGTTCCATTGGCACTTCATAAAGTTGGCTGCATCAGCAAGCGAGATTGTCTGATTTCTGGATTATCAGGTTGCTGCCAATGTATCTTGCAGCACACAGGAAATGACAGTGACAATTTGTCAGCCTAAAAATTGGCCAGTAGGCCTCCTGCGAGAGGAGGAAGTAATAATCATTGTGTTAGTGGTCTTCAATTTATTCGTATTATACAGAGATTTGCCTCCAAGGACATTCTTTAGAGCAACATGATCTAATTTGTAAGCAAGCAGATAGGAAGGTAATGCATTCCATCACGTTAGTGATTGACCCACCTCAATGAGGCAGCTAATTTCGTGGATTTAATTCTATCGTTTTAAAAAAANCTCAGTAAATGCTAAAGTCAACTGCAGAAAATGCTTGAAGATGAGTGATAGTAATTTCATAGTAACCATGCTGTTTCCTAATTGATTCCTTAACCAGGGAAATGCAGGTTGTGATCAGTCATGAATGGCAACAACTGGACATTGTATCTAGAATTTGTTCAACAACAACAACAAGATTCCATTTATAAAGCGCCTTTCACGTCAGGAGGACGTCCCAAGAATTTGTTCAGTGCGCTCAATCAAAATAATCCCAAAATATATTACCTCCTATATATTTAGGTTGCTGCGGGTGTAGAGTAATAGTTTTGAATGCGTTTCACTTCTATTAGTACATGGCTACTCCAAAGTTCTTTTCAAAGAGGAATGTTTTATTATGTCAACACATGATTATCCATGGCATTTTTATTCTGCCACAACCTCAATGTGCCTTGCAACATCATATTTTCATTTTAACTTGCTTTTAAACAAATCTATAATGGTTTTACTTTTTATATTTTAGTGTATTACGTGCAGAGATCAAAAGAGCACCATTGGTGTTGTGCTGAAGTGACCTTTTACTGCAGTGATCAACTTCTTTGTAACCAATGGGTTCAAGCACTCCAGAGACGGCTTGATTTACAAGGTATGTTTTTTGTGGGAAAAGGGTAAAGTTGTCAAACATTTAAACTAACATTATAGTGGACATTTGGGGCACAATTATTCAATTTGTCGTAATGTTTTTCTTTCTGGATACCAGAAGGTATTCAAATTAGAAGGTATTTTTAACTTTGAAGCCTATTCTCTGTAGTTCTTAAAATTAGTCTTCAAAATTAAAACTGTATTTAAGTATTTGCCAAATTTTGGACATTCTGAGATGCTATATTAATAGAGTAAATCTAAACCCAGGCAGAATTTCTACCCACCAGCAATGGGTAAACATGCCTATTGACTTGAATCAAAGTCCAACTTGAATTTTAAAAATGTTAGCACAAACTGTTGACACGTTATGTAAATTTTCATAAACTAATTGAATAAACATTTGTATACAAGAGGGATGCCTAATTAGTACTACATTAATTATGTGTTCGCTATGGTTAAATTATAACTTCTGTGGATAGATTTTTTTTCTTTGCATAAGAGATGGTAATATTAGCTGCAAACTTGCGCCATGTAATGGATAGATTTTTCTTTTAATGTATTCCCTCCCCCCTCCTCCTATAATGGTAATTGCAATTTGTTATGCTCAGGAATGTTTATCTTGATTTGTTCCATGTAACAAAGTAAACTTAATCAGGACAAACTTGCTCTCTGTCACTTTGTGAAATCTGATGAGCTGAACTACTGTCAATCTAGAGATCTGTTTCAACTGATAAGCTGTGGTATGAATGCAAGTTTGCTCCTTATTTCTTAAAATAGTTTTCTGAACAGCGCATTTGTAATGCATTCTTAAAATAGTTGAGGTAAAAAATATGCTGAAATATGTGTGTGTGTGTGTATGTGTGTGTGTCTGTCAGCTTGAAACTGGAAAGTAAAGGCTTAAATCCTTGAATTTTTTTCAAAAGAGCAAATTCTGAAGAACTTCAGGATGCTGAGTTATTGTACCTCATGAAATGTAGTATTCTGTACTTTTCAAATTATCAGGAGATAATAAATAGCTTTCTAATTATATATTTTCTGCTAAACTGGACAATTTGATTTTGAAAGTAGAGATTCAGCACTGTAAATATTTCATTTACTTTCTCGACAGGTGTGCGACCAAAAAACTTGCTTGTATTCATCAATCCTTTCGGAGGAAAACAACTAGGCAAACATATATATGACAAAAAAGTAGCCCCTTTGTTTCAGTTAGCCTCTATAACTACTGAAGTGATTGGTGAGTTGCTTATCTTATCTACATTTTCTTAAATGAACAACTTTGGAATTATCTAAGCACTGCTATTTACTTTGATTTTGGTGCTACACTGCATTCTGAATACACACTGGATTGTGAATTTTTTAACATGGGTTATCTGATTCCTTTATGAGGACATGATTGTCCCGATATGCTATAAAAATGTCATTAACTCGTTGTCTATAAATATACTATAATTGATTTTGTAAATATACTATAATTCTCAAGTATTTATATGGATTATAAGAGCATAGTTGAGGAGTACTATAATTATCTTAATTTCCTTCTTTCAGTTTCTTACTCTGCTGAGGGTTTGAAGAAAATATAATTTATTTGATCACCAGATAGCTAGTAGATAGTTGCAGAAGGGATGTTGCATAGTTGTTTCACAATTCTTGATGTATTTGCCCAGGTAAATACATCAAAGTATATGTGAAGGAAACTGCACCATTATAACTCATGTAAATTGTATACTTATAATTAATTTGTGTGTGAGAAGGGTACATTTCACGAAACAGGAACTCCTGGATACATTATTATCTGCATTGCCAGCCATATATCCATTCCATTCTCGATTGCACCAATTGGTTCCTGGTTCAGGAAATATGATTTGACATGTTAAATCACTGATCAAATTTCTGACCCAGCCTGGGTTCTTAACATTATACTGCACAAACGGTTTAAGTTATTACAATATCATAGAAAACATATCTTGTCTTTTGCCCTCTCCATGAATTTATCAAACTGTTGTTATAATTCCATCTAATCTAAGAATCTTTTTACTTTGTGAAGTGCCAAGAAACTTGTTGATATACTATCCTGCTTGAAGGGCACCATATAAATACAAGTTGTTGCTGGTTGATGTTGATTCTTTGTAATTATGTTGTACACCAAAGTTCTAAGTTGTTTGCTGGAATTTTGTCAACTTGAGGTACAAAGCTTCTTTTATTGTATGGTATTCTACCACAGAGCATAGCTGTTTGGAAGGTAACCTTTGTTGCATAGGATATACATCCAGATGACTGAAGGCACAGTCAAAGAGGAAGATTTTGAGATCGACTGTGAACGGAAGGCAGAGGGACTCCTGTCTGGAGTTTCAGAATTTTGGGGCAGAAAGGCTGAAAGCCCAACTACCGATGGTGAGGTGGGCGGGCACATAAAGTAGGTCAGTGCCTGCCAAGCAGAGGGAATGGGTTCGGTTTGGTTTTAGAAGGTCACGGGCAGGATTGGGCAAGACTGGAGGAATTTGAAAGTGAGAGTGATTTTAAAACTGTTCTGAAGTTACTTACAATTGTCTTCATTGTTAGCTCTACTCGCAATATTTATGTCATCTATAAACATAGAAATTATGCCTCATACGAGAATCCAGATCATTTATATAAATGAATAGCAGTGGACCCTTGGGGACATTACTATTTGCATCTCTCCATTCTGAATAATAATGTACTACTGCTGTCTACTCTGGACTTTATCCAATTATCTATCCGTGCTGCTACCTTTCTATTAATGTCATGCTCCTTATTATTTAACAAGCCTTTTATGTGGCACCTTACCAAAGCATTCTGAAATTCCATATACATCACAGTATTTTTATCTATCCTCTGTTTTAATCAAAGAACACTCTTAGAAACATAGAATCATATAGCACAAAAAGAGGCCATTCGGCCCATCGAGTTTGTGCTAGCTCTTTGAAAAGAGCAATGTAATGTCAGTCCCACTCCCCAGGCCTTTTCCCATAATCCTGCAAACTTGTCCTCCTCAAATACCCGTCCACTGCGTTTTTAAAAGTAGTTATCGAATCGGCCTCGTCCACCCTTTCAGGCAATGATTCGAACAACTCGCTGCGTGAAAAAATTTCTTCTCACCTCCCCTCTGCTTCTTTTAGATACTATTTTGAATCTGTGACCTCGAGTCACCGACACACCCACCAGTGGAAACAGTTTTTCCCTTTCTAACCTATCAACTCCCCTCATGATTTTGAAGACATCTATTAGGTCTCCTCATAACCTTCTCTGCTCCAATGAGAATAATCCTCGTCTCACTAGCTTTTCCTCATAATCAAGATCCCTCATTCCTGGTACTATTCTTGTAAATCTCTTCTGCACCCTTTCCAATGCTTTAACATCCTTCCTATAGTGTGGTGTCCAGAACTGGGCACAATATTCTAACTGAGGCCTAATCAATGTTTTATATAGGTTAATCATAACCTCCTGACTCTTGTACTCTATGCCCCTACTGATAAAGCCTAGTATCCCATATGCCCTTTTTACAGCTTTATCTACCTGTCCTGCCACCTTCAAGGATTCATTTACCTGAACCCCCAGGTCTCTCTGTTCTTTCACCCCCCTTAAGATTGTATTACCAGCCTATATTGTCTCCCCTCATTCTTTCTACCAAAATGCATTACCTCGCATTTCTCCACATTGAAACTCATCTGCCATATGTCTGCCCATTTTACCATTTTGTCTATGTCATCCTGCAGTTGGCTACTATCCTTCTCACTACCTAACTTTGTATCGTCCGCAAACATGGAAATGGTGCTTGCTATACCCAAGTCCAAATCATTTATGTATATTAAGAAGAGCAGTGGTCCTAATATCAATCCCTGGGGGACTTCCCTCCAGTCAGGAAAGCAGCCGTTCACCACAACTCTCTGCTTTCTGTCTCCCAGCCAGTTCTGGATCCATGCTGCCACTATCCCTTTTATACCATGGGCTTCTATCTTTCTTACAAGTCTTTCATGTGGCACTTTGTCAAATGCTTTTTGAAAGTCCATATAAACTAGATCAACTGCACTACCTTTATCCACCCTCTCCGTTACCTCATCGAAAAATTCTATTAGATTTGTTAGACAAGATTTGCCTTTAACAAATCCATGTTGGCTGTCCCTAATTAACCCATATTCTTCTAAGTGAAGATTTATTCTGTCCTGGATTATAGTCTCCAGGAGTTTCCCCATTACTGATGTTAGGCTGACTGGCCTGTAGTTCCCAGGTTTGTCCTTTTTGTACAGGGGAGTCACATTGGCCACTCTCCAGTCCTCTGGCACCACCCCTGTGAACAACGAAGATTGAAAGAAAACCTTGCTTCCCATAGTAACCTTGGCCACATCCCGTCCGGACGGGGTGACTTATCTACCTTCAGCCCAGTCAACCTTTTCAGTACTTCCTCTCTGTTTATACTTATCCTATCCATTTCCTCTACTCTCTCCTCCAATACTGCGGCATTTAGTGCATCCAATTCTTTTGTGAAGACAGATGCAAAGTACTCATTCAATACATCAGCCATGCCCGCTGCCTCCACAATAAGATTTCCACCTTGGTCCTTAATTCCCCCCAGCCTACTTTTGACTAACCTTTTTTTCTTGATATGTTTTTTTCCTTGATATCTTATTAGATTGTGAAGGAATAACTACCTTTAACAAGCCAATGCTGGATGTCTTTTCATCAATCCATGTCTTTAAGTGATTATTAATATTGCATTTTATTATTTCCATGCTATCATCCCAATATTATGGCCTCTAAAAGTTTGTCAACTGTGGATGACTCATCTATCTTACTTGGCTTATATCCTGAGGATTTTGTTATGTATTTTTTTTCCAGTAACTGAACATGCCAATCATGCAAGGGATCATTTGGCAGAAGTGGATCTGAGGATATATGATGGGTACGTATTTTTCAAGTCAATATTCTTCTAGTTTGGATCAACTTTGTCACAGTAAATCACTGTAATGTTAGTTGCTGCTTGTATAGTTGAAATTGAGCACTGTTTGAAAAGAGAAGGAATTTCTCCTGGTATCCTGGCTAACAATCTTTCAATTAAATTAGCTTTCTAGCTGTTTAAGGGACATTGCTGTGAAATTAATGACTGTGGCAAATAGGATGTACAGTCAGGATACTTTCAGGTAAATCCTATGAGGGGTTCTTAGATGTTTTAATCATATGGAAAGACAACATATCGAATGCGTTTTCTCTTCAATCCCATTTTTGAAAGTATGAAAAGCATTTTTTCCACTCTCCCTTCCATTTTTCTTGCCTTGCTCCCCCCCCCCCATTATTTGATGATTCACTGTTTATTTGTGGACTTTGTTGTTTCAGTAATTTAAGAACACTTTCAACTAAACAACCTGTGTTATTTTTCTTTCATTGATGGATGAATTTACCATTTGCTGACAAGTGCATGTCATTCTCCTACCAGTAAATTGAAATTATTCAGTTTTATTTTTCTCAATTGTTTAACTTTCATGACAAAGTTAAGGATATTACATGCTATTTTTGTCAAAGGATTGATATTTCAGTATTGCTGGAGGCTCAGTAAAGGCTATACCAAGCCATTCAGACCAGAAGGTCACAGGTTTGATTTCCAGTCCGTGCTTGATTAGGTTGTCTAATTGCTGTCTTTCCCTGTTTTAAATACATTTAGGATACCTTTTCAAATCAGACCTTTTAATCTTTGTGTAGCACATTGAAAACCATGATCCTGGTAGAGAATTAGGCCCATATTAAAACTTTACTATTGTGGTAGAACTTCACTTGAACTTCCCTCAATCCATCTAATCTCATCTTCCACACCAAACATACCTTGTTCCCATTTTTGGATCAGACTATTTCTCAACTGAGTCCAAAGTCCTGAAACCACCCTTCCTCAAAATTATTGATTGCCATCTATGCAAATAAATATTTCTAGTGTCTGACCTAAACTTACTTGGCTTCACGACCATTCTCTTCCACTAAGTTCTTTCACTGCTGACTTAGGGTATGTGAAAGGAATGTTCCAGAATCCTACTTGATTTTACAAGTTTCCCCCACTGAGATCTCTTTTCGAGACTGATGGATCCTATTTATAGTGTCTCCTCAGTCGAATATAATGGTGCCATCAGGCAAATTGGAAAACAAACTAATTCAAAACTGATTTTTTGACAGGTAAAGTTGTCTTTTGATCATCCATTAAGAACGAAAACATTTTCGAATTTTTTTTCTGGTGAAAGCACAAGTGCGTCAATATGTCAATAACCCGCCTCTCGGGTATTGACCTGTTCTGCAGGTTTCTAGCACATACACAATGATATTGGAAAATCCTGTCAATTCAGAAGTACAGTAAATCTCAGAAAACAATTTATACTCTTAATATTACTACCATACCATTAAAACAAATGCACAAAAAATTTATAGACATTCACTCTGTTGTGTCTTTTTTAAGTTTTAATTTTTATTCTAATTCTCCATTCTATTAAAGTTAACAGCTTTTGCACTTTTCTGTTTGTTCTGTTTCTACCCATTCTCTTTTCTGTTTTAAACTTCCCCCGACTGTTAATTTGTGAACTCAATAATGTAAAAACTTTGTTAAATTTTAAGTGTAATCATTTTTAACCAGTAACCTCCTGTTAATGCACATACCTTGTTTTCACGAAGAATTGTAACATGTGCATATTTTTGCACCTCTGAAAGTCCTACCTTACTAGTACCTTCTTTCGCAAGAATTTATTAGTGACATTTTTTATTCTACAATGTGTTGCTCCTCACAAATGACCTGCTGGGACTATACTTGCCTGAACTGATATATCAAGACCTCAATGTTTTTTTCAGATATTTAAGTGTAATTTTTATTTTTTCTATTCTTTACTATTACTCTTGCATGTTCTGTTTTCATTTATGCTATCCATAATCACACCAGTGAACAAACTTGTCACTCATGATTATTTTCACAATAGAACATTTTTGGCACGCTTGGTTGTTATGCTGTGTGACGTTCACTCAGGATTCTAGGATTTAGGAACAATTTCAAAGCCCATAGAATTTACATAAAGTATACAGAGCAGTAATTGGTTCAATGCCTGTATGTAACCTGTATTTTATGTATTTTTTTGTACTTGGCAGCATTGTTTGTGTTGGTGGTGATGGAATGTTCAGTGAGGTCATTCACGGTCTGATATGTCAGACACAGAAGATTGCGGGTATTGACCAAAATGACCCCAATAGTAAACTTGTTGCTTGTAGTCTGAGAATTGGAATTATCCCAGCAGGTGAGAATTATTTACCCATAAAGCAGCATAAGTGGTGGGTAATAAAAGATGAGACCTATCTATTCAACTGTGCTTTTGATCTTCTCTCCCTCCCCCCACCCAGGTGTTTTGTCAGCTCTGTAAATCACTGAAACATCCTTTGAAAGAAAAAAAACGTCTACTCTTACACATGTGTATAAAATTGTTGTTGTTTGGCACCTAATATAATCTCTGAAGCATTTAAAAAATACTTATAAATGTACCTTTTTGCTTAGAACAAATAATTGCTTAAAACTACAATATTAATTGACCATGAAAAGGTTACGCAAAGTCTAACTTAGGGTTACATTTCCACTTATGAATTCTACTTGTCTAGAATGTAGGTTTTGGTAATTGTGAAGTATATCGCTTTAAGAACCTGAAGTATTCAAATGGATTTACTTTTTCATTAATGAAAGATGCGCAGTTAAACAATGTCCAAGTAGATATGCTCTTGTAGGTTTAAGATTTGAATTAGATGCCAATATTGGCATTTTGCAGTAATGAAGTCTTCTTTCACATGGGCAGTCCCCGGAGAAGGCTTGTCCTATTCCTCATGAATTTAATCACTGACGAAATGAATAATCCATAAAATCATAATATTATTTCAGATGGCTGCTGATACTGTAGCTTATTCAATGGAAAATTGAGACAGGAAAGTGAGACATCAACAGAGCAGGTTCTCTTTCCTCTGGTTATTGCTGCTCTCTCCTGCTAATTACTTGTTGAGCTCTTCCTTTTGCCATTTCCCCTTACATGCTGTTTGCCATGTTGTTTGCCAGCTGTTGCTACCTCTCTCACTCTTGCTCTTCTTGCTTATACCCACTAGCCCATCCTATTCTCCACCAAATCATTGCCTACTCTCTTCCCTCCTGACTTAATACTCACCAGTCTTTTTCCCAGGAGGAATATTCTCACTGTTTTCCCGCTAAGAACTTTGCTGTTTTCACAGCTGGCCCAGCAATCTCATAGTTGCTCACCCAAGTTTTACTCACTTAATCCAATCTGAGCAGACAAGTGAATTTTAAATCTAGGTTGACAGATGCTCTGTGTTGTTGATTTAGAATCATACAAATAAAATATTGAACAGCAGTGGTCCAGTGTTGGTGGGAGCTTTGGAGGGAGACGGGGAGAAAAACTTTATTAAAAAACTAATCCATATTTGTCAGTTGTACCTTGTAACCAGTGCTGGCTACATTAAAACCAGTTTTGCTAGTTGGAAGCTGATCGCATTCTTACAGAGGTGGGAGGGAAATCTGATAATAGAATTAGAAACTGCTTGAGTGAATTACTAGCATAGTTATAGAGGAGCAGCAGAGAAAAGAGCATCACCTGATCACGTGGTGAGCAAATGAGGTTCGAGGAATGCCTGAATCCTTCACTACATGTGTACTTACTGGCAACAGTGCCGAAGGACCACATACGAGAAGAAGAACCAGATTAATTCCAACCCTTACAACTTGTAGGAGGAGGGATTCACAGGATTAATTTTATTGAAGAAAAGATTGAGCTTTGATAACCTGTTTACAGCACTGAGGTGTATAAATTCTGCAGATCTTAGGAGCTCTTTAATTTAGCCTGAGAGTACAAAATTGCTGAGCTTCAAGGGAGATTAGAGATCAGAAGGAAATATTTATTTCTCCACAAATTCCTGCATCCGTGGAATGGAACTTCAGCAAAAGGAGTTTATGTTTTGGTAAAACTCCTGGGGGTGGGTGAGGGGGGGACTCGATAAATATCTGAAAAGTTAAATATCAGGCTAAAAATATAATTGAGGATTATAAAATTAAGAATTAATGTGGATGGTCGAACACCATCGTTCCAATGCTTTTGCAATTATGGAAATGTTATCTCTAGATTTAAGATAAATGCCCTGGCCTGTCATTGTTACTTCAAGGATTTCAAATAAATTTCATAGTATTTTAATCTTGAAAGTTTAACGTGTAGCTATTTAGCTCTCTCAGGAAATTAAGTTCAACAAAATGTTATTATTTCAGCGAAGTTTAACATTTGAAAATGTTGCTGCAGTTTTGAGATACATATATTAAAAACCTTATGGTAGCGGGGAACGTTTAGAATTTTCAAGTGGTTAGCAAAAAGTAAGCATCAAAGTCATCAAACATTTCCAGCAAAATAGTTAATTTTGAGGCACCTTTGTTAAATTAGGGTATATTTGTTTACAAGGCCAATCCTTTTGTTGATATTAACTCTTCATTCTACGGTTTTTGTACATTTTCCTTTAAATCAAATAGTGTTTCATAACAAATAAAACTTACTTTGTATATTCTTGAAGTACAATTCAGAAGAACTGCTAAATTGTAAGCCGTGGAACTCAAATAAAATAATTCATTTTCACATTTACTACCCTATGGATGTGAACAATGATTGACTGCTATATTAAAGAGCTTAATTTCTAGGCAGAATATGTATAGTGATTAAAATTTTGAAATTAAAAAGTTGCAGATCTCAGCAGCCTTCTAGTATTATAACACGTTGTCTTTACAGGTTCAACGGATTGCATATGCTATGCAACAGTTGGAGTGAATGATCCCGTGACATCTGCCTTGCACATCATTGTAGGTTAGTATGTCCCAGTGCTTTGGGACGTCCTCCTGACATGAAAGGCGCTTTACAAATGTAATTTTGTGTTGTATGTTGACAGCTGGAAGTCATCTGGAGGAGGGAGAGAAGTACAAAGTCAGAAAAATATATTATCCATAAAGATGTGTATCTATTATCATATGTGCCTTGGATTGTATCAGTTTAGGTATAAGATGTTAATATAAAGGGCTCAACTGATTTTGAAACAAAGTATGGAGATTATATAACTAGTCTTACAGTTTTTAAGTTTTATTGAAGAAAATATTTATAATATTGCCATACTAATTTGAGTATCTATTTACATGTTTAACATGTTTAATATTGTTTAACCCGCCCCTCCCAACTCCACTATCTGTATTCATGGAAGTAGCTTAACATATGTTACATTCTGCTTACTTCCTAAGCATTCAGGAGTACAGAGTACTGACAGCAATTCTCAGAGATAATTCTAGCACTTACGTAGTTTACATTTTACTTTTATTCATAACAGGTGATTCTCAACCTATGGATGTCAGCTCAGTTCATCATAACAACACATTTTTGAAGTACTCAGTATCTTTATTAGGATATGGATTTTATGGTGATGTGCTGAAGGACAGCGAAAATAATCGTTGGATGGGTCCATCAAGATATGATTTTTCAGGTAATGGTAGTTAATAATGTAGTGGGCACTAGGACCTCAGGAAGGCTCGAAGGGTGGAGTTTGCGTTCTCTTAAGAAGATGACGATAATAATAATAATCCTTGCGTTTGATATTGCGCTTTTCACAACTTCTAGACGTCTCATGGTCTGTTTCATGCTGGGGCTGGGCTGAGAAGGGTGGAGTCCCAGGCCAGAGATCATGAGGCCAAGGTATGGTTCATATTTATAACGGGGGTGGGGGTGGTGGAGCTTGTGACTACACGGGTTTGTAAGGAGTGATAACCGCCTCGTGCTCAACAGTGGTTGCTGGTCAGCTCACTCCACAAAACAAATGTCAGCTTCTGGACCATTGAGTTGATGCAGACAACACTTCCTGTTCACATTCACATCACTCATGAAGTAACATCACATGTGTGCACCAAGGTCTGTCAACAGTGACCTGGTAACTTGGACGTTGGTGTTTTTCTTAAGTGTACCAGAAGTTGAGCCTAGATGCAAGTTGTTAGCGAGTAACATTACAGCTAAGCTCAATCCTGTCTTTACTCAACATCCATATCTGTGCTTTCCATCATGGGTCACAATCAGCAGCCCCCTACACACACACACACACACCACAGACACACAAACACCACACAGACATAAACACACAAACAACATATACACACACACCCTTAACTCCTGACACTGAGGTCAGCTGAAGTCACTCCTTCCAGTTTTGGCTGACAAAAGGGCATAGTATTAGGAGAGTGCATCCATCTGCCTATTCTCAGTTCTAAATGGTTATATGATACTATTCAAAAAGGGAAGGGCATTTTTCCTGGTGTCCAACAATCCTCTAATTCATTTTATGGATTTTACGGGAAATTGCTCAGTGCAAAGTATTTGCCTTATTTATTTACTTACAGAAAACAGTCACAGTACTTGACAATTACTGTAAAGTGTTTGGGCGGCTATTTTAGGTGTTAAAATAAAATGCAAATGCTTTTTTTACATTATAAAGACACCAGGAATGCAGGTGGAAACAACCCCAGAATGTATGCTCAGTCAACACACCTTCCCCTGACTTGTTTTTGCCTTTCTGTGTTATGGATAGCATGGTCTGCTGTGCTCGTTGAGTAAACCAGTTTCAGCATTTTTCATATCGCACTATTTTTGCAGGTTTCAAGACATTTCTTTCTCACCAATGCTATGAGGGAACTGTTTTGTATTTGCCAGCAACTGAAACATTAGGAAATCCAAGAGATGAGAGTCGGTGCACAGCTGGGTAAGCGCCCTAGATTCAGTAAAGGTGGTGTGACATGTATAATATTTATAAGCATGTATAACATTTCAAATGCCTGTACGTGTATTCCAGCAATACTGTTTCTACCAAATCCATGTTTTTTAATTTTGTTTAATTACAGCCTTGTAACTACTCACTCCGGCCATGTTTGTATCCCCATGCCATAATGTCAGCATAGTAAGTTTATTGGTTACAGAGCTTAGCACCTAAGTTGTTGTACTTTACTAATCTGCTCTCAATTATCTTTGATGTATACTGCATAACAATTTCATTTAAGAGGTTATCATGAAATGGTAGACCTAGGGAGGTGAGTTGGCTCCAAGATGACTTGTCTGGTAATGAAACATCAAAATTGAGTTGCTTTCCTGTTACAGTTTCAGTAGTTCATTTCCTGAGGGAGGTGTATCTGGAGTATTCTTGGGCACTGATGATCACTGGACTAGCTTGCCTGGTTCATCAGCAGGATTTGGAGAAGCACTGGAACAGGAATTCTTCCCACTAAGCTCCTGCTTAACCCTGCATGCCAAAGCCTTAGTGGACTAGTTAGACAATCAGTGGGAGGCTTGCCAGTGTCACTGTTTGTGATGGCATGATGTGTGGTTTTAGCTGGTTATAGTCCAACAGTACTCAATCTCACTCACTTTGGGGTCCTGAAGCCAACCTGTGCCAAACACTTCTTCAAATTCAGTAAACAGGTTTGGGGAGAGAACATATACTCCACTTCAGAAAAGGGGTGGCATAGATATGTGGACTTTTGGTTTTGGCACACTTAAACATGGCAACAGAATTCCCAAATACCCAACTCCCCACATACATCCAAAGCAAGATCATTTGAAGAAGGGACGTTTTCACTTATTCTGATGTTAATGCCCCAATATGGCAGTGTTAGCCTGTAAGATGATAATAATAATAATCCTTGCATTTGATATAGCGCCTTATCATGTCTTTGAGACATCTCAAAGCGCTTCACATAATATACTGTAAAGTGAATTGACTGCATATTTTGTGGGCGAAATGCAGCAGCCAATTGCGGACAGCAGTATCCCACAAACAGTTGTGGATTGAAGTGAACAAATTTTTTTTGAAGAAATTAATACAAATAAATGTAATACACAAAATTGTGGAATATTGCTAAATTCAGTCCCAGCTTGTAAGCTGATTATTTAAACTGTGGAAGACCAGCTTCTAAATTAAGACTGAACTGATATGTTTCCCAATTTTGCCTGAACTTTAATTATTCACAAAAATGGAATTTTACAACTTAAATATGAAAACTGTGTAAACACACAACAATCTACATTGTCAGACAAAGATGAATTGCAGTTGATAAATCCTGTGATAAGTAACTTTTTTTCCAGCGGAACTTTGTTGCTCAGATTTTCTTCATGCTTATTAAAACCAAGACTCGTAATGATCATAAATAATTGGAATGTCATGTGCTCTATTTCAGATGCTATGTTTGCCAATACAGTGGAAAACTGTTGGACCTATCAAACAACAAACAGGAGCTGAAACATGTGGCGGGTAAGATTTGCTAGTACGCCAAAATCTACAAAATTATAATAATAATCCTTGCATTTGATATAGCGCTTTTCACATCTTCTAGACGTCTCAAAGTGCTTCACAGAATACACTGTAAAGTGAATTGACCGTATGTGTGTGTGTGTATATATATATATATATTGCGAAACATGGCAGCCAATTGTGCACAACAGTGTCCCACAAACAGTTGTGGATTGAAAATGACCAATTTATTATTGTTTTGCTTTGGAGGGATTATTATTAGGTGGGTGAAGTAAGGAAACTTGCCCAAGGTTTTGCCCTACCTGGAGATGAACTCAGATGTCTCGCTTGCAAGGCGAGTGCTCTAACCACTGAGCTGCAGGACTCCGCAAGAAACAAGAATAGTGAAAATGCTTTCAGAATCTTAATTTAAATCATCCAATTAAGTATCATCCAATATAAATCTCAAACTTGTATTTACTTGTCTAATAGTCTAACTTGTCTTTTTTTNCACCAGACTTGATTTGCCTGGTGGAAATTCCTATCTCTATTAGAGGCTGTAAGGACACTATTTTTAAGGTTCTGTCTTCCTGTTCGGTGGTTATTAAAGATCTTGGCACTATTCAAAAAGAGAAGATTTTTTTCCTCCAGGATCTTGGCTAAGATTCCCCAAAATAATATTGGCCATTCACTTTATGGCTATTTGTGGGACGTTGTGGTTCACAAATTCGTTGCTGTGTTTGCCTACAAAATATAATCACTACACTTCATAGTATGTTCTGTGAAGCGCTTTGAGACATTCCCCCTGTGAAATATCGAATGTAAGTATTATAATTCATTACTGTTTAAAGCACACTTTTTAAAATATTAGAAAACATTGCACTAACTGGCCCAACTACCCATATAGCCCCATTATTACATCCGTGAACTCTTAACCTCTACCAAAGATTAACTGTTGAAAATATCTGCTTGTGTCTGTCTCTTACATAATTAATACTGCCATCAGATTGTTTCACTTTCCTCTCTGTTCCCTGTTCCTCACTAATCTGATAATATATCAGATTTAACTGGTACACTGGTTCACTAGCTTCCCATCACACAGAGGATACAGTTCAAGATCCTGGTCCTCACCTTCAAACCCTCCACAGTGTTGCTCCCCCCTACCTCTCCTTCCATCCTGTTCGCTCCCTCAGCTCAGCGGGCTCTGGCCTGCTTCACATCCCCTGCCTTGCTCACCCCACTATTGGCGGGTGGGCCTTCCACCACTCTGCACCCACCCTCTGGAACTCCAACCCACAGTCCCTCCGTCTCCCGTCTCCCTCGCCACTCGCCTTTCAAGACCCACCTTAAGACCCTCCTCTTGGACCATGCTTTCGATCTCCCTCCATCCTCCCCCTGCCCTCCATCCTCCCCCACCGACCCCAGCTCGGGTCCGTAACTGTCTATCTAGCGCCTTGGGACGTCCTCCCGACATGAAAGGCACTATACAAATGTAATTTTGTTGTTGTTGTACAAGTTAGCTTTGTTTATGGTGAAATTATATCCATGAGGCTAACGGTATGCTGGATTTGAATCACAGGGACATAGCGTGCAAAAGTAAAGCAATTATGTTAAAGTTGTATAAATTATTGGTTACTGGAATATAGCTTCCAGTTCTGGGCAGCTCATTTAAGGAGACATCTTAAGACCTTGGAGGGGGTGCAGGAGCTTTACGAGGATTTAAGGGATGAAAGGCTACAGTTATGAGGAGAGATAGGAGAGCCAGGCCTGTTTTCACTGAAGGAGAGAAAATTGAGAGGAGATTTGATTGAGGTGTACAAAATTATGAGGATTGTTGCGAGGATAAATAGGAAGAAGTGATTTCCATTGAAAGAGGAGTCAGATATAAAATAGCCATAAGATTAGCGAAAAGAGAACTTTGGAGGAATTTTTTTCATCTTGAGCAGTTGGGATATGGAACACCATTGTAGATTTCAAGAAGGAAATAGAAAGGCATTGGAAGGCATCTTTCCATTGAAGCTCCCACTACTATTGACACCCTATTGACTGCTACTTCTTCTGATATTTCTCTAATTAGAACCTCATGCAACACACCTTGCTGATAAACCACCTCATTTGTCTTTCCTGTTGAATCTTAACATCAACCTCTTTTCAATGAACCTATCACATCCTAGTGACTTGTCAACAACAATAATAATAATAATTTGGATTTGTATAGCGCCCTCCACTCCGGACGACGTCTCAGAGTGCTTGGTTGTTATCACAACCAAATTGCTGAAAGATCTGGAATTCCTTAAATTAAAGCTTTCATTTTTCATACTTTAGAGGAAGAAGATTGGAAGGTTGTCAAGGGAAAGTTTCTCGCCATAAATGCAGCAAACATGAGTTGTGCATGTTCAAAAAGTCCAATGGGTCTTTCACCAGCTGCACACTTGGCAGATGGAACCATCGACCTGATACTAGTTCGGAAATGCTCCCGATTCAATTTCCTGAGACATCTCATCAGACATACAAACAAAGATGATCAGGTACAGTGTTTATAAAATAGTTTAAAAATGTATATGACCATTTTACAGTCACCTGTAGAGTATGGCACGATTGCACAAAATCACTGAAGAAATGTCCACATTTTCAAAACTCTTCCAATATTGCATTATTACACACTAAGCTGTGACATGATAGTTTGAAACATCGAATACTGTAGATTGTCCAATGCCTTAAACTGGTAATTATAGGTTAGCAATATTGCAGCTTTGCTGAAGCATATGCCAATGGAAAAATGTGTGTGGAGCAGAGGATGTTCTCACTGTTACATAATTTTTTTATCTCGGGTTCATGCCAGCCTCAGCAGTTTAAACACTAGGATAACTTACTCCTCAGCAGCTGAATAAACGTGTAACTTATTAAACACTTTCCTCTTGTATTTAGGTGACAAAATGTTCTGAAATATTATGCATTCAGAATTTAATATGAAGATATGTTTTCTTGTCTTCAGTTTGATCTTGCTTTTGTCGAGGTTTACCGAGTGAAGCAATTCATATTTACACCAAAATACAGTGAAGAGGACAACATTGACATCAGGGACGTTGGTAAAAATCTCTTTGGTCAGTTCTGCAGCGATCATCCTGCCTGCGGTTGTTCACAGGTTAATAGTAATTGGAACTGTGATGGAGAGATAATTGAACATGCAGCCGTTGAAGTGAGGTATGTTCTATTCTGTTGCTTAGAATTAAGTGGCTAAGTGTCAGTTAAGTGCATAGGAGCATGATTGTTATGACAGTGTTGCAAATCATTTTTTCTTTATGAATGGTTCAAATCTGCATCACAAAAGGCAATTTCCCTTCTAAACCCATGTCCATAGGATTGGTAACTTTACCAATCAGTGGAATGTTTCCCCATTACCATCGATGCACATTTCTTCAAGTAATGTTGCTTGGCATTCATTGTTTAAAAAAGAGTTTCTTAGATGACTTATACTCTGCCTAATGTAAATTATTTGAAGTTTTAAATAACTGTTTAAATCCATTGATTCTTCTAAGTGCAACGACTTTGTTCGTACGACCTATCTCTGGGCTCCAACCACATAGATCTAAAGTGTGAACATGGTGACTATGACTCATCTTCAACATTCATATCTTGGTATACATGCCATACGTATGGATATGAATGTTAATGCCCCAACTTGTTTTGCCTGGAACTTCAGTGCTGCAAATCAATGTCACTGTAGCCATATGACATGCAGCAACACTTGCATTATTGCGGGGAAAACCTAGAAAGATTTATGCATTTAGTTGAGGGAATATTTACAGTAAGCACTTCAGTTCAAAGTGGAGCTAAAGTTGAGAAGGACTGAGGTTTCAAGCTTGTAAGTTTATTTTGAGCCTATATAGAATTTGTTGTTCATTCAACAAACTAAAGATTGACATTAAATAAGAAAATGTAAGTGTTTGCTCTTACTAAAAGGCTACAGGCTGTTCTAAAAACTGTTATAAAACAAATGAACACAATCCTTTCAGAACACAATAACCACTTCCATGTACTCCAGCCATCTGAATCAATATCAACTTTCTTTGGGAATGTAATGACCTAATCTGTTTAAGCAAAACATTCCTAAATTGGCATTCTTTCAACAGAATATACCTTAGTTTAATTAGACTACATTTATATGCTGCCTCTCTCTCAGAATCACAATTATTGATTTAGGCAAAGAGCAGATGATATTTCATGACTACACGATCGAAAAGGAAAGTCTTTTGTATTTTTTTGTAACCGTGTCATGTAATACTGTTCTCAATTGTTTTGACAATTCTTTGTTCATTGTCTCTTTAAATGACATTATAGAAATGTTTTTGCAGGAGAGAAAAATGCAAAGGGTTTAAATTTGGCAACTGACAGATTTGAAAAACTCACATTTGCATGTGAACAATGGGGGAAGAATTTGGACCCTATTAAAAAATCTAGCTTAAGGATGATCTGTATTTACTAAAAAATCATGGTTCTTCTGTATGTTATTTAAAAAGAGAGATCAAGTACTTTCTGTTCAAAGTACTCCCATTTATTAGAGAACTAAATGTATATTAAAATATAGCTTACTTGTAATGAGGAATTTTACTCTTGTGTATTATATAACAACATAAAAATTTGCTAGGCGAAAGAAGACCCAGATCCTTGTAGCTTGCCTTCCACCATTCTAGCAGTCGCTTGAAGTGTCGTCTCCCAAGCTATGTACTGTATCCCGAGATATTATTTTCTAGCAGAAATCTATCTAAATTGTTCTTGAAACAAACAACATTTTCTGCTTCTATTGTCTCCCACGGAGCCTGTTCCATAAGCTTGCTACTTGCTCACTGAAGCAGTGTTTCCACAGATACGTTCTGAATTTACCCCCTTTCAATCGCATGTCCTCTGGTTCTACTCTTCAATACAAGATAAAACAGCTTGTCAAGTCTACATTATCTATTCCCTTCAGAATCTTAAAGATTGTAATCATATCACCCCTCAACCTTCTCTTCTCCAGTGTAAACATGCCCAGTTTATCTAATTACTACCCGTAGTCCAGTCCCTCCATCCCCTCAATCGTTTTGGTTGCCCTCCTCTGTATCTTCTCAATCGCCTCAATATCCTTTTTATATTGTGGTGACCAGAACTCCACACAGTATTCCAAGTGCAGTCGCACAAGTGATTTATAAAATGGCAGGATTACCCCACTATTTTGTCTCAATATTACCCTTTTAATACAGCCCAGCATCTGGTTTGCCTTACTCATTGCTGCTCATTATCTGGGATATGCCATCTCTTAGCATAGAGTGTTCTGGGGATCTCTGCCCATGATGTCACAAGAGTGACCCAGGGCAAGAGGCACAGTAAAGTAACAATTCCTTACTGCAGTGAGGAATATACTATAATATTTTGCTTTTTTGTTTGGGGGGCAGGGGGGGAGAGAGCAAACATCAGCTTCCTAAATGTTTGAATTTTTCCTTGCAGAGTACACTGCCAGCTGATCAAGCTTTTTGTAAGAGGAATAGAGCATTCTACACAAAAGACATCCTGAACTCCTATGCAGTTTAAGATGCAAAGAAACCTCAGGACTCCACATGTCATAAAATACAATCTTTGAGTTCTGCCATTCATGTAATCCTGATGCTTTAGGTTTATTTGCTTGTTAAAAAAAAGTTTTTTGCATTGATTGTTAAAACCATTAACATCTGTTTACGCCTTCAAAGCGAAATACCAATTTAATAACTTTAGTTTTTGTTTCAAAATGTAATTTTCTATAAATTTTTAATTTTATAATTACACTTAACAAGATGGAGAATGTAAATGTGATATTCAATAATTTATATTACTCTGGTGCAAGATGCTCTGGTTTGAAACTTGGAGCAATCCAAACAAATTGTGCACCTAAAATGCAACAATTTGCAATTGCTTTGTTTAAATATTTAATGTTTAGTTGCTTCATCTAAATTGGTTTATTAACGATGATGGTTGGGATTTTTAACCTACTGCTAATTGGAGTATAGATTAGTGGGCGGGGGGTTTCTTGCACAGGTTTTTTTTTGCAACTCATATTAGTATCTTCCCTTTCTTCTACTGTACTTTACATCTTAACAATGCAATCTGAATGGATATTCTGAGTGCGAATTGCTGTTAATTTGTAAGCAATGATAGATTATAGTTTGAGCAATTATTTTAGTAACTATTAATAGAGATTTAAATAGTTGAGTATTTTAAATTTTTTACATAGCAGATATATATTTATTGTAGTATGAGAGTGTGGGGAGCTTCTGCGTAACGTAATATGTGTTCACTATGTGAATGGAATGTTGATACTGGTGTTAATTCACTAATAGAGCATTCTGATTAATTACAGACACCAGCAGTCATTTGCTTTGTGTTCTGTTCTCTGCATTCTTCTTCTGGTAAGAAGGTAAAACACTGTATGCAGTTGTATATACATTGGTCACCTAGCATGGTGTCTCTAACCATTATTTGCTAGAGTCAAATAATATGTTTGTTTGAATTCTGTGTTGGAGTTTGCTAATATTTGCTGACTAGAGTTGCTTTTGTTTTGTGGTTAATGTGGGTGGTTTGGTTTTCCTGTATTATTGTTTGCTTTGTTTCAAAGTGTACATGATTGATGTAAGTGGCATGAGTGGACTTCAAATTGAAGAGTAACTTAATTTGAATGCTTGTGTGACAAAATGCTTTGTTACATGGCGCAGATAAAAAAAATTCACCAAAATTGAAATTTCTTTGGCAAGAGAAGGCTCTTCAGGTTCATTAGACCAATTGATAGATACTTTTTGCTATTTTCAGGTAGCTTGGCGACCAAGCTATAATTGCAGATAAAATACCTGAATTGCAAAAATGTGTACTGCTGCTCTTTAAATCATTCATTCAGCGACTCAATATAAAGAAATGCAAAAAAGCACTTAAGTAAAAGAAAATACACCCAAGGTGTTTGCTATGAAATAATTTTGGAAAATTGCTCACAATTAGCATCCTGAACTAATTATTGGATCATTATATTACAGTTGTGTTTTGCTTGGATTGGGATTGGGGTATTCCTATTTTGGTAGGATGAACTTTTATTTCAGTCCTGTTTGTTTTAAATCCTCAATAGGTTTTACCCAAACATAGTGGTGCTTACCTAACTCTAGTTTCCATGTTAAAAACATGTTTGTAAATCTAAACAAGGTCTCTTTCAGATCTGATTTCGTAGTCTAAGCAAGTATGCAGTTTGGTTGATATCTGAATTTGAACAGTGTCACTTTAATTTTAAGCAAACATTTAAAACATTTCCTCTTATCAGATACTTAGTTGTTTCCTATCAAATTTATGTTCATTCAACTCCCAATTTTTGCTAGAGGCTAACTTCTCACCGTGCTAATGCCCAGATTAAGAACTAAACTAAGCAACAAGTGAACTGACTTATTTTGTAGGAAAAATAGCATGAAATATTTAATTATTTCCTTTTTGTTATTTGCCTGGCTGCATGAATTTTGACTGCTTTATTTACACAACTTTAATGAATATTTAATAGGTTAGTTTTGCAGTCATTGTATTATGGTTTTACATTATATCATCTTTGAAATCAGTTGGAAGTATGTACACATTACAATCTTCTTGGTGAAAGTTCTTAATTTAACTTATACGATATGTTTGGCATGTGATGGTTTGTAGTAATTCAAAATGAATTTCTTTGTAACAGATGAATTGTTTAGACTTTGTTCTTTGCTACTAGTTGTGAGCTGTTACTCTTGTGGATTTCAAAAATATAAACATTTACTTGTTCTAATTTTGTTAGCTCTTTTATAAACTTACCAACTTTACATAATATAGCATTCGTCCCTACATTTGGGATCATTTATTCACTTTAATCATTGCCATACTTCACCTGTATTACCTTCGCTACAGCCCGGTCATGATGAATGAGTATCATTAGTCACTGACATGTACATGCAGTTCTCAGTTCTCTTGTTCTTTTAGGAAATAGAAGTTTTTATTTGGCAAGACGTCAAATTAGCAGCAGGCTAATTACTTCTACTTTAAGAGGTAGAGCATCGGAATGGGAAATTTTTAATCCGTACTAAATCTTGCTGCATTCATGATGACTTATAATAGAAAATACAGTTACGTGGTACAGAAAAGCTTTGTGTCCCTTCTCAGCTTGGTTTATTATGCAAGATAAAGATGACTGATTGTGTTTTTCTGCTGTGGTTAATTTGGAAGGTCATTTGCAAAACAATTACTTCCTAAAAAAAATTCCATGCTCTTTATCATCACTGTTTTTACTGCACCTTTCCTTTCACGGGCCGCTGGGGAGTGCTTCAAAACTGATAAATGCAAGGAACTGCATTAGAAGTTAGACTAGGAAATGCGTAAAAAAGTAATCCTTGGATTTGATATACTTGTTGTTGAAACACCTCAAATCACCTCACAAAGTTTTATTTAATGTAAATTGTAGTGAATCTGTATTGGTAGTCCTGGTAAATGCAAGAGCCACAGCAATGTCCTACAAAAAGCCATGAAGTGAATGACCAATTTTTATGTGGGGAATTGTTGGCCAGAACACCACGAGAAACTCCCTTCTGTCTTTGAATGGTGCCATGGGATCTTTAACATCCACCAGAACAGTCAGAAGGACTTCTGTTTAATATCATACTTGAGTCCTTTGGTTAGGCCCCACCTAGAACCCTGCATATAGTTGGGGTTGCCATGCGTAGGGGCAGTTCCCAGGCAGTTCAGAAGAGAACAACTGGAATGATCTATCATATTAGAGAAACGATTAGAAAGATGGAGCTCTTTAATCTTAAAACAGAGATATCTTAGAGGTGATCTTATAAAGATAACAACTCCCATTTATATAACATTTTTTGGGTCAGCTGGGTGTCTTGACACATGTGGAAACCCAAGAGTCTCCAAACCAAACTGAGAATCTCATGCATCTCACCTACACATAGAAATTCCAAAGATAGATTGTTATAATAATAATAATCATCCTTGTATTTGATATAGCGCTTTTCACATCTTCTAGATGTCTCAAAGCACTTCACAGAATATACTGTATCTATTCTGCGACAGAGGTTTGGGGACCCTATAGTGTGCATTGGCATACTGCTGGAATCTAAAAGCTAAAACCCTATAGCTTGCCATTGATATCACTGGCAAACATTCTAAATGGGATTGAGAAACTAAACCCAAAACAATACTTTCGGATGCACTGAGGCAGCAGAACAAGATTGTTTAAAGTTGCAAATGATAATTTCAGGACAAATAGAGCAAAGTATTTATTTACCCAAAAGCTAATTAATCACTGAAACACATTACCAGGCTGCGTGGTTGAGGCCAATTCACTGGACCCATTTAAAAGTGCTCAGTGTCGTTATAGGAAGATGGTAGGGTGGGTATTCTGGAAGGATAAGATCGGATTGACTGAAGAGCCTTCTTCATCTAAACTTCATCTTTTAAAGCTTATGAAGCTTAGACTAATGATCTGTACCCACACCTTATTCCAAATTTAGACCAATGATCTGTACAAAGTTAGAATGATATTTTTATTATAATAATAATCCTTGCATTTGATATAGCGCTTTTCACATCGGGAGGACGTCCCAAAGCGCTTCACAGAACACACTGTAAAGTGAATTGACTGTATATTTGTGGGCGAACGCGGCAGCCAATTGCACACAGCAATGTCCCACAAACACTCATAGATTGAAAATGACCAATTTATTATTGTTTTTGGTTTTGGAGGGATTATTATTAGGCGTGTGGAGTAAGGAAACTTGCCCAAGGTTTTGTCCTGCCTGGAATTTAACTCGGGTCTCTCGCTTGCAAAGGGAGTGCTCTAACCACTGAGCTACAGGACTCCACAATCTTTTAGTGAATGATCCCAAATACTTTCCTTCCATTATCTTTGCAAATAAAAACCCTTTGATTGTATGTGTACACACTGGTTAAACCCTGTTTCTAAATCTTTGAATTGCAATTAGATTTACGCTTCAGTTGGTGCTAAGGCAAGAGTCACAAAGAATAGGGAATACAGGACTTTCATTCACTGGTCAATGCAGCTGGTTTGATGAACACTGAAAAAAGCTGCAAACAGTTCATCTTCCAAACAAGGACCACAGGAAACCAGATACTTTTAACATGACAGTGTAAGGAAAGAGTTCACATGGAGGTTGATTAGATGCAGTTGTCTGTGGTGTCTTTCTTGTTTCTCAGAACCAGCAAAGGGACAAATATGTAAGGTATTCTCCTTAGTAATTGGGGTAGAGATGCCATCAAGACTCTGACCAGGCGGATCGACTTCAAGATCCTCCCACTCGTTTTCAAATCCCTTCAGGCCCTCCCTCACCTCTCCGACTTGCTCACCCCCCAACCCACTACCTACTGTCTCCCTTCAACTGGCTCCGGCTTTCTGCATGACCTTCATACCCTCCGTTCCACCGTCAATGGCTGTGTTTTGTGCCACTTCACCCTGAAATTCTGGACCACTCTTCCTCTATCCCTCTGCCTTGCCCCTTCCCCATCTTCAGATCACGTCTGAAGACCTTTCTCGTTGACCATGCCTACGGTCACCTCCTCCAGCTCAGCGTCGTGCTCCACCACTGTCAAGCACTCTGGGACACCACCCTGAGTGAGGGGTGCCATATAAATGCAAGTTGTATCGAAAAAGATATCAAAAAGCCAGGAGTTGTTAAAAAGATGTTTTATGACTGAAATGTGTCATGTTTAGGGAGACCCTTGGACCATATTCCTTTGTGGTGAGAGTACAAATGACCCAAGGTGGAGTAAGGTGATTGGTAATAACAGTTTCAAAATATGATTGGACAATTTAACTTTGAATTGTGATGAGCAAAACAAATCTTTGAATTCTGCATTTGCCTGCAAGGGTCACATGAACTAACTTTGGGTGTAAAAGATGGAAGTTTAGCTCAGTTTGGTGAAGAGTCTGGAGGGAAGCTCACACCACAGACTTAGTGCCAAATTTATCTGAGAAGGTAACTGATCATAACCACTCTCTTGTTATTTTATTAGGTTATTGTAAAATTGAATTGTCGCTACTATACTTGACTACTATGAATTAATTTGATCGAAACTATTACTGATATGGTTTATTGTCTCGCAAGTCATCCTTAGTAGAGAAAATAGAAAAATTAGTCAACAAATCACAAAAGTTAAATTAAAAGCTACCTGATCAAACGGAAGCTGAATGGGGAAAAAAACGCACAAGAAATGTGCAAAATAAATGAGGTTCTACCAAAGAAAAACTAAATTCTTACCCGTCCATTGTAATGTTCACCTTATCTATACTTCAGCTTGTGGGTTTAGACTGAGAAACAGTTTCACATTCACCATCAGCCCTTTGGCTCCTCATATCAGTGGCTATTCTGTGTGGACTGGAAAACACAAGGATTTAATAGAATTTTTGTTTTGTGGGGGTAGGAGACAAAATGGAATACACTGAAAAGCAGTTATGTTAAAACGATTATCATGGGGAATTATGGTTCTTTAATATAGAATCATTACTCAGCAAGCACATTTGTTAATTTTATTATACTATTATTATATTATATTATACTATTTTATTTTATATTTTATTATATAATTTTATTGTGGAGTCCTGTAGCTCAGTGGTTAGAGCACTCGCTTTGCAAGCGAGAGACCTGAGTTCAATTCCAGGCAGAGGGCGAAACCTTGGGCAAGTTTCCTTACTCCACACGCCTAATAATAATAATCCCTCCAAAAAACAAACAAAAATAAATTGGTCAATTTCAATCTACGACTGTTTGCGGGACATTGCTGTGCGCAATTGGCTGCCGCGTTCGCCCACAAATATACAGTCAATTCACATTACAGTGTGAAGCCCTTTGGGACGTCCTCCCGACGTGAAAAGCGCTATATCAAATGCAAGGATTATAATTATTATTATTATACAAGTTTTGGCTTTGATGTATTTCAGCATTTTATCTAGGTAGATTACATATTTCGTACGCACCACAGTAAAAGTTTCCTTTTGCTTCAGCAACAAAGTCCTATGAATATTTTCCAGCTGAGTGAGGTGAAGTATTGGGAACAATATATAGGTTTACATATTTACGTATTTGTCTTTACTGGTATCAGTTTGGCTCAGTTCCCAGCAGTCTTTCCTCTGAGTCGGAGGTTACAGGTTCAAGTCATTATTGGAATTTGAGCTCATTGTCCACAGTACTGAGGGAATCCTGTAACATTTGAAGAGGTGTCTTTCGTTTTACATGCTAAACGAAAATCCTGTCTGCCTGCCCTCAGGTCAATATCAATGATCCATTAATGTTATTTCAAATGGGTTTTTCACAGTAATCTCACCAACAGCCTGGATTCATTCTAGGATATTCTTTATGCGACCAATAATTCCCATGTTTGCCTGTGATGCACTTGACTGATAAAACTAAACAAAGAAATAAATGATTAATATGAGGCACTATTCAGTGTGATAAGGTGCTATAAAAATATAAGTTCACCCTTTGTTCCATATATCTTCATTGCAAGGAATCAAGAGGAGTAAAACTACACTCTACCCACAGTTCACTTGTACTTCATTGGATGACACCTAACCCTTATCTCACCGCCTCCACCCACGATTCCAAGACTACTGCCTTCCTGACTGACAGGTTCTGGACGAGAGCCAACTTCCTCCAGCTGAATTTTGGCAAGTCAGAGGCCCTCCTGCTTAGCTCCCATCAGCGCTTCCTCACTTTGGGTGCTGACAGTATCACTATTCATGATCACTCTACACCTCACTGAGCCAATACA